TTAAAGTAATATAAATAAATATCTCAGTAGAGAAATATTTTCTTTAAGAAAAAATATGTAATTTCTAAAAAATTTAAAAACTCTCAATATAAAATAATTTCTTCTAAATAAAGAAATCATTCATTTGATAGGAAATTTGTAATTCTAAAAATGGAAAAATCTATTTTTATCAATATTTTTAACTAAAATAAATATTTATTTTATAATAGAAATAGTATGGTTAATGACTGCATATAAAAAGTCAAAACATACTTTCAATACAAAGAAAATTTTATCGAAATTTCATTTCTTTGATACAAAATTTGTAATTCACAAAATAGATAAAACACATACTAACTCTATATCAAAGATAAGAAATTTGCATAAAAAAAATACTTGTGGGATTGTCATTAACTACGATAAAAAAATAAATCTCTCTCTTGTAATAATTTTAACTAGCTCCATTTGTTTTGACTTTTTATGGGCTGTCATTAAATATAATATTTTTACTAAAAAAAATTATTTTTAATTAAAGATATTGACAAACCAATTCCATTTTTTAATTACATATTTTCTATCATTTCTTTACTTAAAAGAAATTTCTTTATATAAAGAAATTTGTAAATTTTTAGAAATTACATATTTTCTTTAAGAAAATAAAAATTGTCAATCAAAATATTTCTTTATACCATTTTGAAAGTTTGTTTTTATCCTTTCATAGTCTCATGAGAAGAAATTATAATGAAATATAGTCTTAAACCAAATTATAGTGAAATAATATATACAAAATTATAGTAAAAGTTTATTTCTACTAGGTAACTCGCGCTACGCGCGAATCTATATTAATATTTTGGTTTATTTTTTTAGCTACTATCATAAAATTATTAAAAATTATATATATTTATATAAATTTGAATTTATATAAGAGAATTTAATATATAATGTGTAATTTATCATGTTTTTATTTATAAATTTTTAGAAACTATTAGGTAAAATAATAACAATGACACTTATCAAATTATCCAACTTTGACGTACATATACATTTGATTTAGAGAAATATATTCTTGCTAAGATTTTGGTATTATTTTCTGTTTTCCATAGAATTTCTATAGTTTTTTTTTTCTTAAAGGTTTATGTGTTCAAATATTTAGTTTTTATTGAAAGTCTTATTAATGTTGTGTACCACTGTATATATAATCCATGATTTATGTTGATTTGTATTTAATTATGTTAGGAAGTTATAATGATCATGCAAAACCATTTTTTCCTTCTCCATCATGTCTTTCAAGAGTTTTATGTTATATTTTTATTCAGTTTTCATTGTTTTAATTGTTAAATCTAGTTGTTGTAGATTTTTCTAAATTGATAATTGATAATGGTTATTTTTTTATACATGTATTGTTAATTATTAATTTTTTATTTAACTTTTAAATTTTTAAACCATATTAATATTTTCTAATTTAATAAATATGTTGATTTGGATCAATCTGATTGAATTTACCTTTTTGTTGGACATAATTTGTTAAATTAACTATGATCAATCAGATTTAATGTTTTAATTTGTTAAATCAGATTGAATTTACTTTTAATGGTTTGATTTAAAAACTGATGTGGACCAATTAAATCAAGTTTTTCTGTCCTAATCATACTTAATATTTTCCTATTTAATGAATATGCTGATGTAGACCAATCATATCGAGTTTCTTAATCCCATGTGGACGTCCTCAATGCACTATGCCATCAATTTTTATATATTATACTAGGTATATAACTCGCGCTATGCGCGAGTCTGTATTAATATTTTGGTTTATTTTTTTTAGCTACTATCTTTAAAATTATTAAAAATTATATATATTTATAGAAATTTTTATTTATATAATAGAATTTAATATATAATGTGTAATTTATCTTAATTTTATTTATAAATTTTAAAAAACTATTATGTCAAATAATAACAATGACACCTATCGAATTATACAACTTTGATATACATATACATTTCATTTAGAGAAATATAATCTTGCTAAGATTTTGGTAATATTTTTTGTTTTCCATAGAATTTCTATAGTTCTTTTTTTCTTGAAGGTTTATGTGTTCAAATATTTAGTTTTTTATTGAAAGTCTTATTGATGTTGAATACCACTATATATAATTCATGATTCATATTGATTCGCATTTAATTTTGTTAGGAAGCTGTAATGATCATACAAAACTATTTTTTCCTTCTTCATCATGTCTTTCAAGAGTTTTATGTTATATTTTTATTCAGTTTTCATTGTTTTAATTGTTAGATCGAGTTGTTGTAGATTTTTTTTTAAATTGATAATTGATAATGGGTACTTTTTTTTATACATGCATTGTTAATTGTTAATTTTTTTATTTAACTTTTAAATTTAAAACCATATTAGCATTTATTGATTTAATAAATATGTTGATTTAGATCAATCAGATTGAATTTACTTTTTTTTGTTAGACATAATTTGTTAAATTAACTTTTAATATTTTAATTATACTTAATAATTTTTGGTTTGATTTAAAAGCTGATGTGGACCAATTAAATCAAGTTTTTCCGTCCTAATCATACTTAACATTTTTATTTATTTAATGAATATGCTGATGTGGACCAATCAAATCATGTTTTTTAATCCCATGTGGACGCCTTCAATGAACTATGCCATCAACTTTTATATATTATACTAGGTATATAATTCGTGCTACGCACGAGTCTGTATTAATATTTTGGTTTATTTTTTTAACTGCTATCTTTAAAAATATTAAAAATTATATATATTTATAGAAATTTTTATTTACATAAGAGAATTTAATATATAATATGTAATTTATCCTATTTTTATTTATAAATTTTTAAAAACTATTAGGTAAAACAATAACAATGACACCTATCGAATTATCCAACTTTAACGTACATATACATTTGATTTAGAGAAATATAATATTGCTAAGATTTTGGTATTATTTTCTGTTTTCCATACAATTTCTATAGTTCTTTTTATTTTTTAAGGTTTATGTGTTCAAATATTTAGTTTTTTATTGAAAGTCTTATTGATGTTGTGTACCACTGTATATATAATCCATGATTCATGTTGATTCACATTTAATTTTGTTAAGAAGCTGTAATGATCATGCAAAACTATTTTTTTTTCTCCATCATGTCTTCCAAAAGTTTTATGTTATATTTTTATTCAGTTTTCATTGTTTTAATTGTTAAATCGAATTGTTGTAGATTTTTTAAAATTGATAATCGATAATAGTTACTTTTTTATACATATATTGTTAATTGTTAATTTTTTATTTAACTTTTTAATTTTTAAACGATATTAACATTTTTTGATTTAATAAATATGTTGATTTGGATCAATTAGATTAAATTTACTTTTTTGTTAGACATAATTTGTTAAATTAACTTTTAATGTTTTAATTATACTTAATATTTTTTGGTTTGATTTAAAAGCTGATGTGGACCAATTAAATTAAGTTTTTCCGTCCTAATCATACTTAACATTTTTTTATTTAATGAATATGCTGATGTGGACCAATCATATCGAGTTTTTTAATCTCATGTGGACGTCCTCAATGCACTATACCATCAACTTTTTTCTTCTCCGTCATGTCTTCTAAGAGTTTTATGTTATATTTTTATTCAGTTTTTATTGTTCTAATTGTTAATTCAAATTGTTGTAGATTTTTTTAAAATTATAATTGATAATGGTTACTTTTTTTATACATATATTATTAATTGTTAATTTTTTTATTTAACTTTTAAATTTTTAAACGATATTAACATTTTCTGATTTAATAAATATGTTGATTTGTATCAATCAGATTAAATTTACTTTTTTTTGTTAGACATAATTTGTTAAATTAACTTTTAATATTTTAATTATACTTAATAATTTTTGGTTTGATTTAAAAGTTGATGTGGACCAATTAAATTAAGTTTTTCCGTCCTAATCATACTTAACATTTTTTATTTAATGAATATGCTGATGTGAATCAATCATATCGAGTTTTTTAATCCCATGTGGACGCTCTCAATGCACTATGCCATCAACTTTTATATATTATATAATGATGATTCTTTCGAAGGTCCATTTCGACCGACAAAATTATTTTAAAATTAATTTGTTAACTAGACCAATAATACAACTTTTTCTCGAATAAAAATCATTAGTCCAACATTTACAATCAAAATGGTGATTTGTTTTAAACCAGTTAGAAATTCAATGAATACAATATTTACATTTTTTCGATGAGCCTATGAAAGTATATAAATAATTTTTTTAAATGTATAAAAAATATGTAATTCTAAAAATTTGAAACACGTTCAATATAAAGAAATTTCTTTTAAATAAAAAAAACTTATATTGATTGAAAATATGTAATTTTAAAAAATGAAAAAAACTAATTTTGCTAATATTTTTAATTTAAAAAGAAAAAATATTTTATAATAGAAATATCATAGTTAATGACAGCACAGAAAAAAAAATCAAAACAAACTTTGAATAGAAAGAAATTGTTTTATGGAAATTTCTTTTCTTTGATACATAATTTGTATGTTTTTTTTTCCATTTTGTGAATTAAAAATTTTGTATCAAAGAAAAAAAATTCCATAAAAAAAGAAATTTCTTTATATTGAAAGTTTGTTTTGACTTTTTATGTGCTGTCATTAATTATAAGTTGTTCAAAACAAATAAAATATAATTCAAAACGTAAAAAAAAATCACTTTTGATAATAGTTTTTATTAAAATGAATAAAATATTACAGATAGAAGTATCATAGTTAATGATAGTGTATAAAATAGTAAAAACAAATTATTAATATATATTTTTTATATTAAGAGTCTGTTTTACTCTTTTATGCTGTGTCATTAACTGCAATATTTTTATCATATAATATTTATTCTTTTCAATTGAAAATAAACAGACATATTTTCTGTAAATGAAAATAACATATCCTTTTTTTTCAATAGAAAATAACTGATTTGACAATTAAAATATATGCCAAAGTATCAGCGTTAGTTTGGAGCTTCTGCGTTAGTTTTGTAATACTTTGGTATATATATTTTAATTGTTAAAAAGGTTATTTTAACGCAAACCAAAATAATAAAAAAAAAAAACAATGACATGCAAATTATCTTTTGGGTCCACAGGCCCCACACTATAAAGTCTCTACAGTCAATTCTCTATCTCATTTCGTCTCTTTCTTCTCTTCTCCAGTCTCTCCGCTTCAGCGGAATCTTTCCGAAGACGAATATAGAGAGCCGTTTCGATTCTGTCGTTTGTAGAAGCAAAAAAAAAACCTTATTTTGTATGCTTCTTCTTTCTTCGTTTTCTTTTTCATGAACGGTCCCTCTCGCTCCTATCCATTTTCTCTGTTTTATCTCTCTTTTTTTTTCCTTTCATTGCAGGTTTGTAGAAGATTCTGGTTGATTCTTCTGGGTGTTTGATTGTGCTCTCTACAATATTGTCTCTCATGGACTCTTCTCCGGATGGTAATCTTTCTTTGAGTTTCATAGCTTTTAGGAGAAAAATTTCGCAAGATTTTATCGAAATTCCTTGCTTTGGTTTTTATGGTGACTGAGAATTGTTGGAGCTTCTGCGTTAGTTTTGAATCATATGCAATTGAAAGCTTGAGACTTTTTTCTCTTAACTCGTGATTACCGCTGATTAGAGATTACTGTGTTCATTATTTAACATCCTAATTCTATTGGTGGGTCTTTCACTGTTCTGATTGATTGGTTCTAAACACACTTTTTTAAGCTCATTGGTTGATGTATCCTACCATAAAAGAGAAAACTTTCTTTGTGTCAGGAGATGTTCTTGGAACTTTGTAATGAATGTGGTTGACTTATTCTTGGAACTTAGTTACGAGATGTGGGTTTTGTGAGCTTTGTCTTGTTGTTTCGTTTTCTCAGTCTCATTGGTGTTCTCAAACTCAGTCTGGTCTTGGTTGGTACTAAATTAGATTGTAGTCTGTTTCTTGTAGCAGTCTTTGACTAATTTGTGTTTCTGTCCTGAAGAGTCAAGTGTTATACCATGTAGCACATTGTTCTTCTAGGAGTTGAAATGTAAACATGAATCCTATATCTTCATGCAGGTAGCTCACTGAAACGCAGTGGAATGAGTGTTGCTGAAAAGAGACAGCTTGTTCATGAGCTGTCGAAGAATCCGGATTTAGCGTTTGGAGTGTTGCAGAAGTGGACCTGCCAGGAGATTACAGAGGTCTTGTCCGCAGAATCAGGGAAAGAAAGAAAATGTAAGGGCTTGACCAAAGCGAAGATGATCGACATCCTCTTGAAGACGGTAACAGAGAGAAATGGTTCATCAGCAACGAAAAGAAACTCGAAACGAAAGAGGAAGAACACTCATCCTTCTCGGTATGTGGATCCTACAAGCTTCAATGTCTCTGCAAGCCCTGATTCAGCTAGAACGAAAGGTAACAAAAACATTTGGTTTTGCAGCATTCTTCTGTTTTCTATATTGTAAACTGAAAATTTTTAAAAAATGATGCAGGCAAAGGAATCATCTACTGCAAGAACCTGGCTTGCCAGGCGATACTGAAACCGGAAGACTTTTTCTGTAAAAGGTGTTCTTGTTGTATCTGCCACAAGTATGATGACAACAAAGATCCAAGCCTCTGGTTAACCTGCAATTCGGATTCTCCATTCGCCGGTGAATCTTGTGGCTTGACGTGCCACCTCGATTGTGCTTTCAAGAGTGAGAAATCGGGTCTCAAGGAAGATCAGCCAAGTCATGGTGTTGATGGATGCTTCTACTGTGTCTCTTGTGGCAAAACAAACAGCTTGCTTGAGTAAATCTATCTTTTTTAGTTACAATCAGTTTCTGCATTTGTATACAATATGTTCTTTATTTTCTCTTTCTTTCTTTGTCAGATGTTTGAAGAAGCAGTTGGTGATCGCAAATGAAACCAGAAACGTAGACCAACTTTGTTCCCGTCTCGTCTTGGCTCAGAAGCTTCTGAAAGGCACGGAGAAGTACTTAGCACTGTCTGAAAACGTGGAGAATGCTGTGGAGAGCTTAGAAACTGATTTGGGTGGTCCTCTCACTGGTCTTGCACTGGCGATGCGTAAAGGAATCGTAAACAGGCTTGGCTCGGCGCCAAAAGTGAAGGATCTTTGCTCCTCCGCTTTGAAATCCCTAGAAGAGACACTGCTTGATGACCATGCATTGCCTTGTAAGATGCAAGGTGAGCTTTTTTTTAACAGATACTAATGATCAAGATAATCTAGAAACTTTCGTTTTCTTCTTCGTTGTTGCTTGATTCGTTATCAACTATACTACACAGGATCAACGAAGATCATATTCGAGGATGTCCAAGCGACTTCACTCACTCTGGTTCTTGGTTCCGAAGAAGAACCTTCCTCATCGGGAAACATCATTCGTTACAGCGTATGGCATCGCAAGGTCTCAGAGAATGATTATCCAAACAGCTTGACTTGTGCATTGGTGTCGCCAGACACAAGGTTTACTGTCTCTGGGCTAACTCCAGCTACAGAGTATTGCTTCAAAGTTGTTTCCTTTAGCGGCGAACAAGAATCGGGCGTGGAAGAAACCAAAGTCTCTACAAAAACTCACCAAGAAGAAGAAGAAGAACAAGAGGAATCAACTCTTGTGAACTGCTTAAGCACAAAAGAAGAAGAAGATGCCATTAAAGAAGCTGTTCCGAAGGAGAAGGCAGTGAAGGATGAGAATTCAGGGTTGGCGCAATGCGTGAAGATCATAAGAGAGCTCGAGTGTTCAGGTCATGTTGACAAGAATTTCAGACAGAAGTTTCTGACTTGGTACAGCTTAAGAGCGAGTGCTCAGGAGAGAAACGTTTTCAAGACATTCATTGATGTTCTCAAGGACGATTCGGTAGCTCTGGCTGAACAGCTCGTTGACACATTCTCTGATTGCATCTCGAGAAAGCGTTCCGCGATTGGCAATGGAGCTGGAGGTAGCGGTTGCAGTAGCGTCTGAAGGAGATTTGGTGATTTCTATAAAGTTTTATTTTTTCTTTTTCTTTTGGATTCTTAAAGAAAGATTTCATTTTTTTTATATATATCAACTAACAAAGAATCGTTGAGATTGTAAAAGCTAAATGCACAAAAGTGATATTTTATATCAGTCTCCATTGATTCTTATTGAGCTCTGTTTTTTTCTAACCAAATTCGTTGAGATACACAAAACGATATCTCAAACTCACAATCTCAATTTAACTTAGCCGGTTTGACTAAACCTACATGTTGAACCGATTCAATTCGGAAATCCACTACACACTCAAGAGCAGAGCTCAAGAAGAATCAATGGAGGAGACTGAGATTCTCACAATGACGTTTACAAAGAGGAGGAAGAAGAAGAAGGATACAACATTTTTATGCATAAGTGCTTAAAGCGTAAAGCCTCTACGGCGACTAGAGTCTTCACTTGCTTCCCTTCGGTTTATCAACCAAATCCCAAACCGAGTTAACTCTTCTTCAATTCATCGGTTTAATCAAAACCTCAAAATATAATCAGAACCAACAGTCACGACATCGATCAATTCGACGCAGTAATTACCGGGTTAAGGATTTGTTTTCGTAACCCTCTCCTTTTTTTTACTCTTAACAAAAAAAAAACTTTCTTTTTTTTACAAGAGCAATTCAGCCCAAAGCCGGTTCGAATTATTCGGTTTTCCGGTTTCTTTTTTATAAGAATACAGTAAAAAAAAAACTAAAAACAAAAAACCCTAACAAGTTCTCTCATTCTTTCAAAAAAATTTCCAAACCAAAAACATTCAAATCACAAAATATTCCAATTAACTGTTTTGTCATAAGCAATATTTAAGCCGAAAAAAAGAGAGATGATCTTTAGTAATCATACTGATATTATTATCAACTACTTGTTGAACCTAAAAGCAGTCTTGTTTTCAAAACAAGAAGACGTAACGTAAGTAACAAACAAAGTATTACAAAATTGGACTAAACATGGAGTTGCACTAAACTTGGAACATAAGAAGAGCACACAAGAGTGCCAAATTCACATGGGAACCAAGCTTCTCCCATGTTGACAGATCTAAAGTATCCATCTTCTCCAATGATGTACGCCATTAGGGCGCAACCGACCTCAGGCCATAAATTAGCTTTGTATAAGGACAATACTGAGCTATGTAATTTATCTGTGTCAATATCGAAAATCACGGCGACTTTCTTCTCCTCGTCAACGAAAAAACTCTCACCAACAAAGCTATTCCAATAACAAAAGTAAGTATTGCCCTTCAAAGTCACGCACATGCAACAAAAAAACATATCCAAGTCGAAGTTATGAGCCCTCCATGAATCAGAGCGAAAGTCGTAGACATCGATGAGATTCTGAGCACCAGAAATCCTAGCGATCTTGTAATTACGGTTCTTGTCGTGTCCGAAAGCAAACTTGTCGCAAAACTCGAACTCGTTTTTGGATTGAATCAATCTTGTTTCCCCTAAATACGGATTCCATACCAGGAGACTCGATTGGTATTTGCTGACGCATAACAATAAGCCATCGCAGTGACAGACTTTAGATATCTCGAACTGATCATGATTAGGTATACTTATTGGCTTCATAGATAGATAATCCATGTGTTGGTCTTCGTATTCGTAGACGTAGTCGTCGTTGCGGATTCCTTGGAGCTCGAATCTCAATGAACGAACATTATAGTTATAATAATAATCCACCACCGTGAACGCAAGAAACTGCTTCTTTGCTGCTTTTTCGCCCAAGACCAGGTTTCTCGATAACTCGTTCCATGTTTTACAGGTAGCTCGTACTGCGGTTAGATATGTCAATGGAACCCTCGAGAGGATCTCCCTTACCAAATCCTCTGAAAGATCAGAAATTGTCGTCTTTCTTCCAAGTTTCGAACCAAAGTTTCTAGCTTTCTTCCTTCTCGTCGTCATTCTTCCAAGTTTCAAACCAAAGTTTTTAGCTTTCTCCGTACTCCGATTACCTTTTAGTTAAACCCTAATTTAGTCTCTAATCTTTTACTGGATTGGAGATTATGTTTTTATTGGGCTTGTAACAATTAATCTATTAAAACAATTTTTTGGTAACAGAAGTCAGAAACAAACCCACATTGTAATCTTTTTATATATATATAAAAAGGGCATTCTTATTAAAATTGTAATGGAAGTGTTACAAATGATGAAAATACAAAAATAAGACAAACAATAAGATTAACAAGAGAAAAGAATGAACATGGCTAATCTTAACATAACCTAGTATGATGTTTTTGATTCCCGCAACACACCCTCAACATACAAAACTATTTGTTTTTCTGATGTTTGTACAAGAAAACTGAAAGTGTTCTTAGAATATTAAAAGAAAAGAAACTGTAAATCAATATTCTGAAAAACTTGCTCTTGAATAAATTTCTGAATCATTAGGTAAAAAGAATTATCAATTGCTCTTGAGTAAATTTCTAAATCATTACTGATATAGGTAAAAAGACTTAACATCATTCTAAAATTTAAGGAAATTGACTATTCTCTACACCAAAAACCAAAAAAAAAAGGATAAATTCAGTAAGCTTTTAAGTTAAAGTTAATTATCTATTTTATTATCGAGTTTTCTTTTATTAATTGGTTATGTGCTTCTTCGATAAATCTTCGTGACCTCTCTAATAGAGTAAAGGCTTGTTCCAACTTCCAGTTGACTCTATTATTTTACTTTTAAGAAAATACTCTAAAAATATTCAATTTTTATTTAGTTATTAATTTTCTAAGAAGCTTTTTTTTACAAATACATAAATTTTATCTAAATCTTTTATATTTATAACAAAAAAAAATTATTATTGTGATTTTGTTAAAATTAAATGTTTAGAAGGAAAATAAAATTATCTTTTATCTGCCTAATGATTGAAAAGAGCAAATATATATATATATATATATATATATTATATTATTTTTATTTTTATTCTTCCATTGTTAAATGGATTAAAGCAATTTATATCATTATTTTCGTAACCTTTAGAGATGGTCTTAGTCATAACTAGACAGATAATATTAATGCCTACAACATCAAATAACCCCCAAATCTAAAAGAAACCAGCAGAGATCTGATGGCAAGTTTGATGTAAATGAGGCATTCCCATATGAGTGATCAAGAGTTGCAGCAACAGCAAGCAAAGGAATTCAACAGTCACATGTTATCATAGTGATTCTATCAACTATTTCTTCAACCTAAAAGCAGTCTAGATCAAAAAGAAGATGGCGCAAGTAACAAAACAAGGTATTGAAATTAGACTAAGCTTGGAACATAAGAAGAACACACAAGACTGCAACTTCTCCAATAAGGAAACCGAGCTTTTCCCATGTTGATAGATCTGAAGTATCCATCTTCTCCAATGATGTAAGCCATTGGATATAGACAGGTCTTGGTCCCTTTATATCTGTCAATATCCAAAAGCACGGCGACTTTTTTCTCCTCGTCAATGAAGAAACTCTTACCGTTAAAGTATTCCCTATAATCAACCGGTAAACGACCATCGAGCGGCTTCATGTCCACCGTCAAAAACTTGCTCCACAACACCGCATTGGGATCAACCTTGGTCGTGATCCAGATATATAGCTTATCAAGTGTGCGGTAGTGGTTATATAACAGAGCGAGCTTCTCATCACTAACAAAAGATAGAGACACACCTTCATGAAGACGATCGTAAGGGTTTAACGGAAGAGGCAAAAGCGGTCCAAAACTTTCTCTTGTAAAATCAAAACAGACTAAACAATCCTTAATTGCCATATTTCGACAGCAAAAGTAAGTATTGCCCTTCAAAGTCACGCCCCTGCCACGAAAATGAAAAAACATGTCCAGGTCGAAGTTATGAGCCCTCCATGAATCAGAGCTAAAATCGTAGACGTAGATTGTTTTTTCAGCATTAGAAAACCTAATGATCTTGTGGTTACGGTTGTTGCCGTATCCGAAAGCAAACTTATTGTCTAAGAAAAGGCTGAATGTGTTAATGGGTGGTTGAATCAATCTGGTTTTCCCCAAATACGGATTCCATACCAAGAAACTCGAGTAGCGTTTGGTGACGCATAACAATAAGCCATCGCAGTGATAGACTTCAGATATCTCGACCTGATTATAGTTAGGTATGCTTATTGGCTTCATTGATGGATCAGCCCAGATCTTCGTCGGAGTCGGAGTCGTACTCGTCGTTGCGGATTCCTTAGAGCTCGAATCTCAATGAACAAACACTATAATTCACCATCATGAACGCAAGAAACTGTTTCTTTGCTACGTTTTGGCCCAAGATCAGGTTTCTGGATAAACCGTTCCACGTTTTACATGTAACTCGCACTGCGGTTAGATATCTCAATGGAACCCTAGAGAAGATTTCTCTTACCAAATCCTCTGAAAGATCAGAAATTGTCGTCTTTCTTCCAAGTTTCGAACCAAAGTTTCTAGCTTTCTTCTTTGCCGTCGTCATTCTTCCAAGTTTCTTCAACAAAAGTTTCTTTTAACTTTCTACTTACTCTTCTTCTCTCGGTAGACCTAAACCTAAACCTAAACCTATGATGTTTTTTATCCTCACAAGTCACAACATACCCTCAACATGCAAAACTCTTAGATTTTGTGATGTCTGATGAGCAAAAAACTGAATTTGTTCTTAGAATATTATAAGAAAAGAAATGGTAATTCAATATTCTGAAAAACTTGTTTATTCAATAAATTTTGGCTTCTTTAAGCGTACATACTTATAAGTAAAGGACACATTATTCTAAAAAGGAAATTGCCTATTCTGAACCAAAAAGGATAAGTTCAATAAGCTTTTAAATTAAAGTTAGTATCTCTTTTATGTCGAGTTTTCTTTTATTAATTTGTCATGTGCTTGTGTACATTAGCTTTATACAGAGCAAGCTTCCATGGTAAAAAAAAGGAAGTAAAAACCCAAAAGAAGCTTGGGGACATAATCTATAGATTAGGAAATTAGAAGCAGAAACTAGCAATAAGCGAACCATTATAAAAGAAGAGTACTATCACGAATAACGGTTGCTTGTAAGGCAAGGCGTCTTCGTGAAATGGACAGACCATTTTGTTGCTCTTTCTCTCATCGAATTTATCAGAACCTGCCAATTATCCAAGGTGATTTGAGAACCCAGGCGTTGAAGAACCAGAGACCAAACCTGAGATGGGTAGGGGCAGCTTAGAAGAAGATGATCCCGAGTTGATGTTCATACCTCAATTCACCATTCTAGCTCTGACCGGAACTGCATTGAGATTGGCCGTCCAAAAATGTAAACACAAGCTTAGCGACAAAAATTTTGAACCAAGATTTCAGGTTGGAGCTGAATGTTAAAAAGAGGTGATCTTTAGTTACCATACTGATTCTACCAACTACTTCTTCAACCTAAAAATCAGTCTAGTTCGAAAAGAAGATGGCGTAAGTAACAAACAAGGTATTGAAATTAGACTAAACTTGGAACATAAGAAGAACACACAAAATAACTGAGAAAAACAAAACACTCAAATAGAGATTCAAATGCTCGATGTGAATCGCATTCATAGAAGTGTTCAGTTTCCGTTAATAACAGTGACATCTCTTTTAAGAATTTTTATATTAAACAAAAGAATTTTATTTTTGTTTACTAGAATTTAAAATTTCTCAAAACAACCAATTTTTTTTTTTATAAAAAGAAAAAGTCACTATTTTTAAAACGAATATGTTTACAGTTCTGTTAATGAGAGACTAACCTCGCATATTTAATCCTTTTGGGTGTTTTCTTGGATTATTTTGTATTAATGGTGAAAGTTTATGATAGAGTCAAAAAAAATATTTGTGTTTAGAATCCAAACTAGCTGTGTTTTCATAGTTTTTATGTGATTTTTTTTTATAAGTGCTTTTGAAATTTTGGATAGTTAACAAAATTTTGGATAGTTAACTAAACATGAATGAGCACGACGTTGTGAATTGATTAAATCCATTTAACAATAGAAGAAATGAAGTAAATTAATACATCAACGTTGCACTCAATGATGCTCATTCAAACCAAAGAAGAAAGAAAAATGTCTTCTTGCTCTTTTCTATCATTATGGAGATGAACACAAACATAATTTATAAGACATTGTTGTGTCTAATTTGGTTTGAAAGATCATTTCTGATCATCTCCAGTTTTAATTGCACTCTTGTAAGTATATTATTGCTACGCTATCTCGTGGAGACGGGTTAATACAACCTTCGAGATGGTTAATATAACTTTATAATTTTATAGGTAGTATTGATGTAGTCAAATCGACAGAGAAAAATAAAAACATTCAACACCTTCGTGGTGCGAGTTATAAAATAAACTACATGTGAGTACACATTCATCACCTTTTGTTTCATTATATTCTATATTTTGTATTTGACATATTAATATATGAATATATTATTTACTAATTCATAGACTATTGTTAGCCGTTTCATTCGTTCATGGCTCGACCTAGATTTTGGCGACCAAATAAAACTGTGGGAGAGGAATGATTTCTAAACCAACCCGCTCCACCACAAATCATAATTTTCGGAACCGGTTGAACCGGACCCATCTATATACTCCATGTATTAATTAAAATCTCATTAAAAGTGCACTGTCTTTATGTAGCGTCGCTTCGCCATCTCGTGAGGAGAGTATGCAAATGCCAACTTTATTGCATGCATGCGTACTTCGGTAACAGTCTTTTTTACTATTTGCTCTTGTTTTTTTTTTTGGGGACCATTGCGCCGTCCAATTGCATACAATCTTTATGGCTCAAACTCGAATCTCTATAAAATTTAGTTTTAGGATTAGTCAATTATATTCTCCCCATAAAGTAAATCAAGCTTCTCGAGTAAATAAAGATAAGTAACAACTAACAAATGATGTGCAAAAATAGTTTTACCTCTGTTAATTATGAATGTACTTGTTAGTTGTTAGAACCTGACCATTGACCAACAAAAAAAAAAACTTACTTGTTAGAAAACTCCATTTTAGAATAACTTCATATTGCCTTCCAAAAAAGAGAATAATTTCATATTTCATATAAGAAGGAGCTTCGTTATTTTCGTACTTATATTTTTTTTTACTCTACTTTAAAGTCGGCTGAATTAGTTTCTATGTAACAAATCTTACAAAATGAAATAATGATTTAGGAAAAAAAAAGAAAAAAAAAACTGAACTGATTTTAGGGACCCAACTCTAAACCAAAAGACATAATAAACCAAACTCTGAATTTCTGAATGTTATAGCCAAGTTTGGAATAATGGATTTCCTATTAGATGTATCACCAAATAAAATTCATTTTATATATATATAAGTCGTTCAAATTATATATATTCACACATTAAGGAAAGATATATATGTATTTTTTAGCCGTTCAGTCTTAAAATTATATAAAAAAAAAAAAAACTCCCCTAAGTCTTTTGAAGAAGACTCCATTTGACATTTCTGAAAATTAAAATGAAATTGTATTTTTGGAATGCATCTTATATATCAATCTTTCAAAGTTCATGGGTTGATGTTAATTATTATTAATGACATCAAAAGAATATTAATAAATAAAGCCAATTTTGAAAAAAAAAATCCAATTTGAAATATCAAAAGCTTATTTAGCTTGAAATATAAGATTTGTTGTCGTTGTCTAATATAAAGAATCCAGGTCTCTCAATAGAGAAGGAGAATGGTTGAGAGCTGCTGCTCGTGAATAAAAGTAAAACGTCGCCGTCTTGATAGCTATGTATTCATGTACAGATGTACTCTTAAATCTGATAATTAATATATAACATGGTGACCGACGGTGTATTTTTTTCTTAAATCGTATATATATGCGAGTTTGTAAGAAAAGAGTTTTGGTCGTAGAAGTATTACTGAAAATTAAATTAACATATGTTTATTTCAGTTTATTGTCACCTATATATATATATATATATATATATCATTTCCACTTCAAATCTTCCATTTTTATATAAAACTATATATTCTTGTCATGAAAATCAATAATTATTCTTCCATAACACATTATCTCATCTCATTAAACATTAAGTAATTTATTAATCTAAACTATCAATAATTTATCACTTTTGTATCATATCAAATTTCTCAAATCAAATACACTAACTTTTCTTAATATCCCATCTAGATAAGAAATGTTGATATTTAAACTGAGGTTCGTTAAATAGACATAATTAATCACTAATAATGTACACCTGTCAATTTGTTTATTGATAGATCAATTTAAGTAACATCCCTTAAAAACTTATAAACATTATCTCAGTTGGCATTAAGTAAACTGTTCCATTCAGAGAGATCAGTTTTTGTCCAAGTTAAGTGACATGCGTCGTCTTCTAGATGTTTTGAGGTTGATGTGAGGCCGTAATATATATTAACTATTTAATAATTAAGAACCCAACTAATATAATACTAGAGGCCAATAAAGTTTAGACACTCAAATAATGAAGTAGAGAAGACAATCAGAAGAAGATGAAACATTCAGTTGAACTGAACATGTTTTGCTTCTTCACTTGTTAGCTCAATATACGTATATTAATTTATATACAAAGTAAAAGTTTGTGACTAAAATGTTAGAATTGCAATATAGCTCAATTTTTTTTCTTATAATGACAGATATCTAGATTAATAAAATCTTGAAATATAATTGAGAGAAGCTATAAATGGTACAATTGAGAAAAAAAGAAGAAGATTATCTTAAGATATTATGGTATTCCAGATTTGAAGAAATAGATTTATAATCTTCAAATGAACTCAAGAGGGTTGACCCTGTGTTCATTAATTTTATTTGATCTAATTTTCGTCTAAACTAGTCCTCATTTTATATGAAACTTTTGTAATAATAGTTAAGATTCTACATTGCAATTTAAGCAACTCCAAGCTTTAAATGAATTGATAGTATTTTATAGTCCAAAAGCAAGAAAAATAAATAAATTACATTTATACGTGTTTATGGCCGAAAAAATACTTATATATATGTGTGTTTATATGTTAAAATATTATTTACGTTAAATGTTCATTTGTATTTTATTCATACAACTAACTCACTTGCGCAAAGTGGGAATAATTCTTTTATATTTGCTTTTGCATTTTTAATATAATATATATGTTAAAATCATTTTTATTTTTTAAAAAAATTAATGAAATATAACGAATATTAATGAAATCACAGTCCTTAGAACTAAAATAAAATAAAAGATAGAAAAACACTTCCACACACATATATATACTCACATTACATAGACATATAAAAGTTGACAAAATAATAATAATGGTTAATTAGCTCTATTAGTGATTCTTTAGGATTGGCGCTAATAAAACTGACGACTGTTAGGCCGAAGAGAATGCGATTTGGACTACCTAACAATAGTTTCGCTTAATTAAGCAATTTATGTTAGGCTTGACTTTAAAAAATATAAAGATAGTTTTAGAAGAATCCATTATATATCTCTGTCAAAGTATCAATATAGTTTTTGTTTCATTAATTATTCAACAACAATCTGACCACAATTATTCGACGGATACAAATACAAACACCAATACAAAAACCCACATATAAATCTAAACGCCATTAACTTAAATCTATTTATTAATTTGTATGTTTCTCTTGCAGGCTTTGTACCCAAATACAAAATACGACGTTTCAAAATAAATTTAGCATTTTATAAAATAAAATAAAAAAAATAAATTTAGCATGGTACGTACGTATATAACTCATTTTGTCCCTATCCGAAAATGATACTATAGTTGGACAAAATATCTTTAGTATATAATATGTAAACATTATACATACATACGACTATACGAGCATGACTAGTTCCATAGTAGAAATATCCCAATAAAATATGATTTTCAAAATATACCTTCCCCCTAATATTTATCTCCCAAATCCAAAATTTGCAAAAGATAAGAAATAAAAAAAAGATAAATATAAGAAAGTAAAATTGTGAACATGGATATCCTCCAGCGAAGCTACCTGCCTTGTGAGATAAAATAGCATAAAAAAACCATTAAAGTCTCACCCACACAAAGTTGCCTCCTCCTTTCTCTACACTTCATAACCCCAAAACGCAAATCACCAAACGCTAAACGCTGAAACGCATAACGCAAAACTCTCTGTTTTTTCGCTACCTAATTCTCTGTGGACGCCCTCACCGTAAACCTTCACCAACCCAAATTTAATTCATCTGTGTTTTTATTCACAAAGTACAAAAAAACAGACAGATAATAATATCTCTCCTTCTCTTCTCTGTCTCTTCCTCTTCCTCCTTCTTCTCTCTGTGATTTCATTATTTGCATAAAACCTCGAGTTTCTTCTGTTCCGTTCAACAAAATGAAGTACATTCGAAGCAACAGCTTGAAACGCCTCTTCTCCTTCAAACGACGCAGTTTCGACTCCGACTCTGAAAACTCAGCTCCTCACGCCAAATGCGTCGAGGGTTTTCAAGAAACAGAGCAGTTTCAAAGACCCAAGTGGAAATGTTTCTCCTTTGAAGAAATCTACGACGCAACCAACGGTTTCAGCTCAGGTTCTGTCTCCAATTCTTGAAGTTCTCTATAATGATGTCTTTGTCTCACAAAAAGGTTTTTTCTTTTGCAGAGAATATGGTAGGAAGAGGTGGATTTGCAGAGGTGTATAAAGGGATTTTGAGTAAAAGTGGTGAAGAAATCGCTGTGAAGAGGATAACGAGAGGAGGGAGAGACGACGAGAGGAGAGAGAAAGAGTTTTTAATGGAGATTGGAACAATAGGACATGTCTCACATCCTAATGTCTTGTCTCTTCTTGGCTGTTGTATTGACAATGGTCTCTATCTTGTTTTCATCTTCTCTTCAAGAGGCTCTGTTGCTTCTCTCCTTCATGGTATACAACAAATTCACATCCTTTTTTCTTGAATTTGCAATTCTAAAGCTTAAAAAAACTGAGCTTTATAAGCAAAATTGGGATTTTCTGCTTCTGGGTTCTTACAAATCTTCAAGGAAATGTGTTATTTGGTTGTTGTTTTTATTAAATGTTTTTATATTGTTTATGTAGACTTGAATCAAGCACCATTGGAGTGGGAGACAAGGTATAAAATTGCAATTGGGACAGCAAAAGGGCTTCATTATTTACACAAAGGTTGTCAGAGAAGGATCATACACAGAGACATTAAATCCTCCAATGTTCTCTTAACCCAAGATTTTGAACCACAGGTCCTCTGTTTTTCTCTTGCTTCTTAATTTTCAAAAATGTTTCATTGTTAAGTAGCTAATTTGTTCTCTTTATTATTCTCATTTAATAAAAAGTATTAAAAGAAACAATTATTTTGTATTTTTAGATATCTGATTTTGGGTTGGCAAAATGGCTGCCTTCTCAATGGTCTCACCATTCCATTGCTCCAATTGAAGGCACATTTGGGTACTTTTTTACTCAAACTTTATTTCCATATTCAAACTATATAACAAAATGTGTGTTTGTTTTTAAAGTATTGATTCATCATTTTGAATAAAAACAGGCACTTAGCACCAGAGTACTATACACATGGGATTGTGGATGAGAAGACTGATGTATTTGCTTTTGGAGTGTTCTTGCTTGAACTCATTTCCGGTAAAAAACCTGTTGATGCTTCTCACCAAAGCCTACACAGCTGGGTAAATCCAATTTTAACCCAATTTTCTTTACTATTTTACTCGTTATTTTTACCGCAGACTTATTTCAAATTATTGGTTCGACTAATCTCCAAAACATTTCTATTTTAAATATTTATAGTTTGAAGGTGATTGCTAAAGGTTTTTTAGAAATTTTATATAGCTTCATCATATTATTACCAATCAAACTTTAGGAACTATATACCCCACCAAAAACTCACAACATTTTGGTGCTAAACATTTTTTTTTGGTATACTAAAATTTTTTAAACTACAACCAATTGAAATTTTTTCGTTCAGTTAAATTTCGAAAAAATATAATTCTGTGATACTAAATTATTCTTTTGCTGGCCAAGTTATGTTTTAGAAATTTTATATTGCTTTTAAATCACTTCATCATATTATTACCAATTAAACTTTAGGAACTATATATATACCCCACCAAAAACACAACATTCTGGTGCTAAACATTTTGTTTTTGTATACTAAAAACTTCTAAACTACAACTTAGAAATGTACTGACTTGTTCTAAAAAAAAAATATAGAGATACATCCCTAACCAATCCAATTTTGTTCGTTCAGTTATGTGAATTTAATAGTTTTATATATTAAACGTTATACATTTTAAACAGGCAAAAACGATTATAAAAGATGGAGAGATTGAGAAGTTGGTGGATCCAAGGATTGGTGTAAACTTTGATATCCAAGAGCTTCATCGCATAGCTTTCGCTGCGTCTCTCTGCATCCGATCATCGTCTCCATGTCGACCTTCCATGATCGAGGTACGTTCATTAAGCGAACATTAATCATAATCATTATAGTGGTTTACTTTTTATATATGTAGTATTAGTTTAGTTTATTGGACATATTTAGTAGTTTCTTTTTCTTCCTTTTTTTTTTGCTTCATTTGTTTGTCTTCTTCACTTGACTCTTTATAATTAAAAACATAACTTGGCCAGCAAAAGAATAATCTAGTATCACAGAATTATATTTTTGTAAAAGCAAAAGTAATCTTTATGATTGGTTCATAATGAGACATAGTATCGTGTCGATATGTTACTCAACGCATCGCTTTTCAGTTAGCTCATCGGCTGCGTGACTAAAATGAGTCTTTGGTCATTTTATTATGATATTGAATAATAGCTATAAGTCTCAATTTAATACCACGTAGACATAAGTCACATAAAACATTTATATACATCTCTAGAAAGTTGCTTTTTTAATTATTGAATAAGAGATAGGAACCTTTTTAATTTGATATAAAGAAGAAAAGTAGTACTATAATATATGAAAAAGCTCTATTACCGACACCTAATCTTAATCAAAGTCACATACAAAACAAAATAAGCACTATGATTTCTAAAATCGATCAGATTTTGAGTATGATTATTAATTAAGAACAATAGTTGATTACATATGAAAGCGGCTCATTTACCGACACTTAACTTTAATTAGTTTCCAATAAACAAAACAAAACAAGACTACTAACAAGATTTTGTAGATCAAAATACACATGCACATAATATACAATTTGGAGTTTCTAAGACTCATTAGTCATATGTTTGTCAAGAAAATATTACTGCAATATTACAAGATTGATGATAAGACATGTTCTTAATTATTATTATCTTCTCCCTCTTTTTTTTTTTTTTTTGATGAATCTTTGTGTCTTGGGATTTGTGGTACATCAGGTATTAGAAGTACTACAAGAAGAAGATATAGAGAAGGAGAAATGGAAAATGGAAGAGGAAGAAGAAGAGAAAGAAGAGTTTTGGGGATATGAAGATCTTGAGGATTGTGAATGTGATTCCTCAATCTCACTTTCTCCTCCTGACTCTATCTCTAACCGGAGTTCTTCGCATCGTAGTCGCTAGATCTAAAAATTAGTTGTAAAAACTTGAAAATCATCAATTTTGTTTTCTTGTATATATTTGTTTAGAGTTGTCTATTTCATGAACACTTGTAGTATTCAATATGAGGTGTTTTATTTATTTTTGGATGTTGACGGTTTATAATATTTTAACCAAACTCTATCCAAAGTTTGCAAGCCCCCATATAATCAATCATATGATATCATCTCAGTAGAAGACATTAAGAGTTAGGGTCCCATGGATTTGCATTTAGTAATTAAATGTTGCTTATTAAAGTAAACACAATCATATTGATTTTTTTTCATCAAGTGTCTTTTGAAAATTGCAAATGCAAATAAAATATTTTACTTAATTTTCTAATGATGTTTGATAAATAACATAGTGTCATGATTTTAAATAAGACAAATTCGACTGTACATCAAAAATCTACAAAAAGCTAAAATCATAGCAGATCAATAATATCCCTCCTCTTTTTCTAAGAATAATGCTTAACACTGTTCTTTTTTCTTAATAGAGATAAATGTTTTGGAGCGTCCTATGCATAATTATTAATTACAAGATGCTTCCAAATGTATCCCTAAAAATTATTACTATTGTTTTAAGTTAACTGTAACTATTCATTTTTCAAAAACAATAAATGAATTAATGAGGGTTATAGATGATATTTTAAACTGTTTATTAGTATGTGTAAAACATTCTAAAACATCTCTGAAAAAATTGAATTTAGTACCCTTCATGTCTCAGTTTCACAAAACACGTCTTTTAAAACAAAATTCTACTTAAATAACTTATAATTTACCCTACGAAAATGTGAAACAGATCACAAGTCCAAATATCGATCTATATTTTAGTGAACCATAAATTATTGCGCAAACAATATAAACACTATAAGGGAAAACTACAAGTTAACTATATTATTTGTGTTGTCTCTTGTGTAACACGTTACCATATACAGTTTTTGCGTGATTAAATAAATCAATAAATATGTGGGGATGTGTGTGTGTGCGCGTGTTTTATGTTTTAGTTTTACACAATGAGATGTCAAATCTTAATATAAAGTATTTGCAAACATTCAGTAATCAGATTGTCCATATTAAATTTGATTTTGAAAACCAAAATCTTCGTATCAAACAAACGCGCGTCAAGATCGTTGAAATCACCAATTTGAGCATGCCAAGCCCTCGGATACCCTTTGAAGATCAGTGATTTGATCTTAGCTAAAAACATTAATCATTGTATTTACATAATATGTTTTAATCATAATCTTTAACAAAAAAAAATGTTTTAATCATAATAATGCATTCTTGGATCAATACAACGATAATAAGTTAAGTGTGGATACTTATATGGTGGGAGTCCATGCCAGGTGTACGGCACAGACAATCATCGCAGTATCACTCTGCAATTATTTTAATTTTACAATACCGTAAGACGTAAGTATACATTTTTGGTATAATGAAAATACAAATTAACATTTGATGTTTCTATATTATATTCGTCACTGAGTTGAACTTGGGTGTTACAAAAGATTTACACTTGGACTAACATCTATTAATTTATAACAGAACATTTGTTTGTTTGTATTAGTGTCCGCTTCTCATAGCTGGCCATAAATCTTGAAAGTGTACTGTCGTTTTTATATATATAGTTTTCGTATTTAAATATATAGTTTCGTATTCAAACAATTTTAACAATCTTGAAAGTGTACTATCATTTTGACTAAGCTGAGTTACATAAAATCAATTTGAACTCTGAATGTTTCTGAATTGGAATGGCAAATATACTTCCGCGATTGCTTTAGCAAAAAAATAAGATAAAAAATACACTGCCCCGATTCATCTGAATTTTATATATATAAAATTAAACATCTTAATTAAGATAAAAAGTAGAAACGCAAAAGTACATTTGTTCCATTAAAAAGCCTGAGACTCGAATATTTACAGCTCAAATGAAATATAATATGGCGTTTGTAAGTTTATAATTATATGTCTACCAAAAAGTTTATAATCACTTTAACCAGAAAAAGTTTACAATATATAAACTCCTAGTCGCTCTGCATATCAATTTTATCCGAACGTTCAGTTAATTTAACAACACTGTTAAGAGTATAAATTTCTAAATGATGTGATGGTATTATAATACCTTTAATAGTTTTCTCTGTTATTTAAACGATGATCTGCAACGGATTATTATACTACTTCATCTTTTTATCATCTTTTGTGGTTAATAAAGTTGATCTATTAAGTTGGCTAGCCAATTCAACCACATTTGTAGAATTTATTCAAACTTCCATTAATCTTGGATAAATAATATCATGTGTCTTTTTTAAAGGAATAAAGTAATAAACAAGAATCTTTTTTCATCTCTTTCTCGAAAGTAGAAAGCTTTTCCAATACGCAAGACATAAACCTTACAAAGTATTGTCCTACTTGCATGTAGAAATAAAATTAAAAGTTAGTGTCCCCAAGGCAACAATAACCCTTTTTCATGTACTTATAATATAATTAGCTCAACCATTTTGGACCACCAAAAAGACCTATCTATGATATAAATAGACCTCGAAATATTTCAATTTATCTTTGTATCCACAACTTAATAATGCAATATGTTATTTTGAAATATTTGGATAATATTGGAACAGTTTCCTATGGTGGGTTAGGAGCACCTGACTCGTTTTACAATTATTGAGAATCTAAACCACCACCCCCCCCAAAAAAAAAAAAAAAATTTGCTTACCTATCGATTCCATTTTTGGTTTATGAATATACAAAACCACGGTTTAAACTGAAACTGACTAAACCAAAGGTCTAGTGAAATTTCGTTTGGTTTAAGAGAATTAAAGGACACATTTGGTTAAAAATTATGCATTTTTGTCCAAAATTCTAGTAACAACATAAACCGGACCGAACCTCACAACTAAAAGACTACAATACTTCCTGAACAACTTTTCGTCACTGCAAAATGTTACAAAACCTTTTTTTGGCTAAGTTTGTATAAAGCCTCTCTCTCTCATTCCACCACAACGGCCGTTCTTTACTCCATCAGTGACTCAAAAAACTCAGAACATAGTGTAGAGCCATATGGTTTATTTTGTTGGCTCCGATGCAAGTGGAATAGAAATGAACAAAAAAGAGCCAAGCAAAGTTGTTTAAATACAATACTGCATATGTTGCACAACTTAAAGAATGTTATACCAAAAGTGATAGATCAAAACATATATCTACAAGATATTTTTCGTATACAAAAGAGTTTGAAAGAAATCAAGAAGTGTATATTTAATATGTTCGTTAATGCGACAATACAGCTAATCTATTTAAAAAGACGATTTAAATGGAAAAAAAGGCGCTTAACTTTATAATGAAAAAAGAAGAAGCAAGGTTTCTTACCGTGTAAGTCGCTCCTAAAACACATAGTAAAATGTTCTTGTCCGGATTCCAAAGGTTAATAAAATTCTCAGCCACATGCAACAGCAAGAACAGTGCCATCCCCAAAGAAAGCAGCAGCAATTATTGGCTTTTTACTAAAAAATTATACAATTTAATCGGCAAAGACGAAATTTTTCAATGTACACAGAAGTTATTACTTATAAGAGCCAACTGCGTGACATATCCAACTTGAGTCTTTGACCGTTTGGTTCTTATCGCTGTTGCAAACCCAAATCTGATTCAGCAAAAGCAATGTCAAAAAAAAAAAAAAAAATACACTTAGAAGATATAATATAAAACCAGTTTAAAAACTACCTTGAAGTCTCTACCGAAGGATGTACTGACTGCCATGAAACGAGTAGGATGAAATGCAATGGCTGAGACACCAACATCCCTGTAACAGATACAGAAGGAGAAAATTAACTCTCGCGTTAAAGGATATAACAGTTTGTATGTTTCAAGAAAAGATAGATAAAACTTAGAACATTAGCAGAGTAAAGGTTATCAACCTGTTCATAATATTAAAATATGGTATCTTCAAAAAATTTAAAAATAATATCAAATTTACCATTTGAAAGGGAAGAGTTACTGCATTTCTTTTTCATAATACATAATATATCAAATGGGTTATTGAGAATCTAAAACTCTACAAAATAGTTTTGCTTACCTCTCCATTAGGGGTAGGCAAAAAACTGAACTGAACCAAATCAAACCAATCAAACATTTTGGTTAGGATTTTCATGAACAGATTTTGTTCGGTTCAATTTTAAACTCAAACTATTTTTTTTTATTAATGAATTAGATTAATAATATTAACTATTTTAAATTCTATTATTTAAAGATTCTTCTATTCTTAAAATTCAAAACTAAAAAAAGTTATTGAAGTTTACATTTTAGTATATTTATATTAATGTTGCTTTTTATTTTTGTTTATAATATATTAATCAACATGAATTTGAATTAAATTAAAATTAATCAAGTCGAACCAAACTGAACCGAAGTGGATTTAAACCAAACCGAATATAAACCAAATCAAATTAAATTTGGTTGAATTTGATTAAAATTATACTAAAACCAAACTAATTGAACCGAACCAAATCCGAACCGAAACCAAAAATAAACCGAAATGTCCACCATTACTCTTTATTGCATTTTGGTCTATGAATCAACATACAAAACCACGGTTTAGATTGAAACTCTATCTAAACCAAAGTTCTAGTGAAATTTCGTTTGGTTTAAGAGAATAAAGGACACACTTGGTTAAATTATGCATTTTTTTTTCCAAAATTCTGGTACCAACATAAACCTGACCGAATCTCACAACAACAAAACCTAAAAAATTTCCTGAACAAACCTCAAAACAACTTTTGCTAAGTGCAAAATGTTACAAATTTTTTTTTTTGTGTGGCTAAGTAAGTTTGTGTAAAAGCTCTCTCTCTCATTCCGCAATGGCCGTTATTTTCTCCATTAGTGACTCATAGAACTGAGTACACAATTTCTGAAGAGGCGGGAAATTTAGGGTTGAACCACTAAATATCGTCTCCCATGGTCTCTCTGACGATGCGTACAGTGTTGCAGACGACTCAACATTCTCCATTCTCTTCTTGTCGTAGTCTGGTAGCTGCCCGTAAAGCGATGTGTACCCGAAATCTCCTACAAATATTGAGACTTTTTCTCCATCAAGAACATGGCGAAAAAAAAAGGATTTAAAAGATGAAAAACAAAGAAACCGTTCTTGATTTTGTTTTTGAAATTTACCTGTCTCTTCGTGACCAGCAAGACCCTCGTAGTCAATAGCGCTACGCTCGTGTGTCTCATCGCTACTAGGATCGAAAACAACATACTCGTGGCTTCCATTTACAAATGCAAGACGAAGCTGAGACTTGTCTCCTTCTATAAACGAGATTGATCCTCCCTCAGCCTGCAATTTAAACATGGTTTCACTCGTTAGATTCATCTCAGACATGGTTTTACTCGTTAGTTTCATCTGAACGGTGTTTAGCTTTGGTCATACCTTCATCACGGTCCATATAGATACCGGCTTAGGATCTGATCCGTTGAACAAGAGAATGGCACCATCTCTACCGGTGAAGACATCCTTTTTAGATTTACTCGTCTTGAAGTTTCTTGGGATTAGAGCCAAGACTGCAAAAGTCGATGAGTCCACTGCAGAAGTGACAGCTGCAGAAGGAGAAGGAAACATTGACTGAGCAAAACACACAGCTTGAATTTTCATTGAGACGTTAAAGAAAGCGTTTACAGTACTTTACCTTCTACGCGTAATGCATATGACCATGATAAAGATAGCTTTGATGTATCCCAAACAGATAACTCAGGTTTCTGAACATAGGATGATGCAGCAACAAGGAACTCAGACTCCCCCACGAAACATAGCTTTGTGATTGGCTGTAATACATTGAAAGATTGAAACCTCATCGGTCTTTATGAAAAAGAGGCTCTTGAATTTATAATGGAAAAAAAAAAAAAAGGTTTCTTACCGTGAGAGTCACTCCTAAAACAGCCAAGAGAATGTTCTTGTCCGGATTCCAAAGCGTGATAATATTCTCAGCCGCAACAGCCAGAACAGTGCCATCCCCAGAGAAAGCAGCAGCAGTCATTGGTTTTTTCCTGGAAATCATTCAAAGAGAAGAGAACACATTATTTTGATCGAAGGGGAGACAGTTGTGTGAATGTTTTAGTTTTGTAATGCAGAGAAGTTATTACTTATAAGAGCCAACTGCGTGACATATCCAGCTCTTGTTGCTGTTGCAAAGCCAAATCTGATTCGGCAAAGTCAATGTCAAGAAATAACAACAAAAAAATAAGATACACTGAGAGATATAATACAAAACCAGTTTAAGAACTACCTTGAAGTCTCCACCTAAGGATGTGCTAACTGCCATGGAACCACTAGGGTGGAAGGCAATGGCTGAGACACTAGCATCCCTGTAACATATAGAAAAGAAAAAATTTACCCTCATGTTTGTATGATTCAATCAGAGAAAACAAGATCTAGTTTCAAGAAATGATAAATAAAGCTGAGGTTGAAGTTATTAACCTGTGAGGTTCATATACGATTGTGGATAAGGTGAACGTTTTGTTGTCTGGTTCAGACATCCAAAACTTGAGTGACACTAAGCCTCCTATGCCTTCTTCCGGGAGTTTCACCTCGGTTGTACTCATCACCGAGCCATCCAGGGAGAGAGCAACAGCTGTCACCACAACCTATTACCATATTCTCAAATTATCACCACACGAGAATAATCTTTAGATATAAAACCAAATAAAACAGTAAGAACATGTACTCACTGTGATGTCATCTCCTGGTTGATGGTTTCTCTCACAAACTTGAATCTGCAAAAGAAATGGTTAAGAAGTTAACCTTACAACAATCACACACCAACTTCGCGGTTTTATAGACAGACAGCAGAAGAGTTGAAAAGAAGATACTAACCTCTGAAATTCCCCGGTCACTAAGAAGATTGTAAAGCTGAACACAGTAATTCTCTGTGCACAAAGCAGCTACGCCAGAAGATCGATCAAAAGCAACAGTACTTGCCAAGCCTTCATACATATTAGGCAATGATGGGGGAGGCTGAAAAGCAAAAAACACAAACATTGACCAAAACCGACAAGAAAAGGTTTGAAGGTTCTTAATTTGATAGGTTTCTAAGAGGAACCTTGATTCCAGAAATGGTTCTCAAGATCTCCATGGAAGGCATTTTAAGCAAATGGATCTGATTATCTGCACAAACCACCTGCAAGCTCTTGTTATCAGTAAAGTCACCAAAACACTTCCTTTTGCTTTCAGTAGGTTGAAACAGTAAACGCCGACTTACAGAAGAAAGAGTTGGATCTGGAGACCACACGAAATACAACAAGGGAGATCCTATTCTTGGTAAAAACTTCTTCTTCCCTGTGTCTAGCTGCCAAACGACAAGTACCCCTTCTCTTCCCCCTAAAAGAGTCAGAAAAGGAAGATGCAATACAGAGTAAGAACTCATGACATAAACACACGTTCACGAAGTCAATGTAAAAGCAGAGGATAACTCAGTCGCACCTGAATACAGATATGCTCCATCGGAAGAGAAGTTAAGTACGTTTACTTCAGCGGAGTGCCAATGCCACGTAGTGCAAGACTCGGCATCATCGTCACCTCTCACCCCAGGGTTGTCCAAATCAGCCATCGCTCTCGCGTTTCTCTTTCGATCACCGGAGGCGGCGGCGAGTTTCCGGTTGCCGAACCCTCTCCAAATCAACACTCTCCCAGTAACATCTCCGGCAGCTATGATTCTCTCCGTGGGATGAAAAGCAAAAGCGTTGATAGTCTTTGAGTGATGCAGCGTCATCTTCTTGGAAACAGCATTCCTCGACCCTCCTGAAGGAACATCCCATATATGTATCTTGCGTTTGTGCAAGATTCCGAAACACTCACCAGAGGGACTGATCACTATATGTTTTGGTTCTTCCGTCTATACACAAGGAAGAATGGATTTTAACTTAAACATTCTAATCAAAGACACAAGTCTGACTTTAAAACTCCATTAAAGCTGACCTCTTTTAGAGTATCTCCGCGAGGAAGACGCTGTCTCGCGAGGTTAAATCTTCGAATGTGTCCACGCAACTCCTTGGAACCTTCTTTACCCTCACCACTCGTATACTCAACAGAGACATAAGCAACTAACTTGCCAGATTGTTGAGGCTCACTCAAAAGACAAGGAATGACCTAAAGAGCAGAAACACAGAGATTCGTAAATTGAAACACTCTCAGGAAAAAAATACTAATTAGCCACTAAAGAATTCGACTTTTTGTGCTTACCATAGAGTAAATCGGAAGCTGAGCATCGATGGTTTTCAAAAGCTCAGGTCCTGAGAAATCCCAATGCCGAATCGTACCATCGAGAGACGCAGTCCAGCAATAGCACAGGATTTTTTGAGCAGCGCTCGACGGAGGAACAACAATCAGAGTCGTCACTGGAGCTGTGTGACCCTCAAGGGAAGTAATCTAAGAAAAAAAAGGGGAAACAATTATTAAACTTTTAACGATTCGAAGAGAAAAGCTTGAGAAGGGTTTCGAAGAAATATAGTTACCTGTAAACCAGTGGCGGCGCTGAAAACGGAGACAGTGTTCCCTGTGCAGATAAGAAGCTTCTTGGCGTCGTTGGAGAACGACGGAGGTGAAGTCACATAGCTTCTTCCGCCGCGAATCATTGTTTGATAAATCTCCGGCGAAGAAGTGAAGGAGAGGCGGTGATTCTGGGAAGAAGGAAGAGCAGCCGCGCAAATTTTCTGCTTTTAAAAGCCCTAAATGTCTAAAACCCTTCGTCTGTGTTTTCTTTTTTTTTCAGTTTTACGTTCGAATTTTAATCGGAAAATATAAAAAGACGTTAAAAATTAATTATTTGGAAAACTGTCTGAAGCTACCAACAAATTAATTGGGCTATTTGTCAAAATGAGAATCGGTTATAGTTGGGCCTTATATGTCCAATAAAGGTCAATTTCAATTACAACATGTCTTTTCTAACCTAAACAAGATGAAGTATTTTTTTTTATCTGAACGTTTTAAAAATTCAAAAATTCAACCCAAATTTCAACTTTTATGTTTGAAACAAATTTGAGGTTGCATGTATTAGTATCTCCACTGTTTTCTAACAATGTATTTGATTCGGGCACATACATTTCTCCAATCCCGATTACCAACATCTTGTATTCAGATTTTCTAAAATCAATATAAGCCAATATGATTTTGATAAAAAAATGTTTAAAACAAATTTGATTTTAACAAAAGTTATTCCACCATTAAATATACAAAACGATGTCGTTTTGATTGATAAAAAAAATTGAAAAAACTTAAAAAAATTATAAAACTTGCTTCGGTTAAGACTTGAACCCTGGTCTAATGTTCAAATCTATAACATGCAACCTATTTTGCTATGAGATTAATTGACTAGTATAACTGGAGTAAACAACATATAACAAAACGTTTTTATTAAAAATGTGAATTTCACTTTTTCTTCAAATCCGTTCCATTGCTTTGTTATAAAAAAAAATATTTCACTTTTCATCTATTAAAAAAGTGAAATTTAAAAACTTCAATTATTATTGGTTTACAAAGATCATATTGTTACTTTATTATATTAATGTAACCATATATTTATGTAATATTTTAAACCAACCCAATTCAAAACTGAAAATTTTAGTAATTTACATAGTTTATTGATTTGTCGAATTTCTATTATACATGTTTTGAAAAAAAAATTTTATTAAAAATTGAAAAGTGAAATTCATATTTTAATAAAACAATTTCAATTTCACTTTTTTAATAATTGAAAACTGAAATTTATGCTCTATATAACAAAGCAATGGAAACGGATTTGAAGAAAAAAGTATAATTCACATTTTTAATAAAAATGTTATATTATATGTTGTTTAATTCAACTATAGTTGCAAAAGATATTGTAGACAAGGAGCTTATTACCGTCGCTGGAAAACGATGGAGACAAAGACACACAACTTCTTCCGCCGCGGATCATGAACCTTATCTATAAGTTCTAATGACAAATATAACCGAAGTAAATAACATATAACATAACATTTTTATTAAAAATGTAATTTCACTTTCTTCTTTAAATCCGTTTCCATTGCTTTGTTATTAAAAACATAAACTTCACTTTTCAGTTATTAAAAAAGTGAAAATAAAAAAACATATACATTAAATTTCAATTATTATTGGTTTACAAATATCATATTATTAATTTATTATATTAATGGAACCATATATTTGTGTAATATTTTTGAACCAACCTAATTCAAAACTGAAAATTTTAGTAATTTACATAGTTTATTGATTTGTAGAATTTCTATTATACATATTTTGACAAAAAAACGTTTTTATTGAAAATTGAAAAGTGAAATTCATATTTTGATAAAATATTTTTAATTTCACTTTTTAATAACTAAAAAGTGAAATTTATGCTCTAAATAACAAAGCAATAGAAATGGATCTGAAGAAGAAAGTATAATTCATATTTTTATTAAAAATATTATGTTATATGTTATTTACTTCAATTATCAGTTGTCAAAAGATCTTGTAGCAAAATGGTTTGTGTATTGTTGGTATGAGCGTCAAATCAGGGTTTGAAGCAAGATTGATGGCTTTTTAAATTTTTTTTCAATTCAAAACGACACCGCTTGTATATTTAATGATTGACTAACTTCTGTTAAAGTCAAATTCATTTTAAGTACAAAAGATGAAGCTTGGATTGAGTTTTTGAATTTTTAAAGCGTTCAAATAAAAAAAAACACTACATTTTCATTTAGATACGAAAAGCTATGTTACAAATTGTTAATGCGTCTTTGTTTAGGTAGGAAAAGGTACATTATAAATTATTCATGTTGAAATTGACTCTTTTATTTACCATTGTATACAGTACTTTGTTGATGAAATTAATCCATGATGAATAATCAAAGAAATATGTAAATTATGTTGGATAATCATCAAAAGATGCTAAAACTAATTTTGGTCAATTGATGGTTTTTTTATATTACTAGTTATATTTTAAACATATGCATCATATATAACAAAGCAGGTAACTTTTCATTTCTTTTTTAAATTTTCTATCAAGATCACAATTTTCTAGAGCTTCTAAAAGTCTAATAATTTGTAACGACTATTCTATAATTTGAACTTAAAAATCATGTATACTTCGTGACTAATGTATAAATATTTTCAAAAAGTGTAAATTGATCGTTGGCATAAAAAAAATACCTAAGAAACATAACATATAAATTAATAATATAAAGATATATATATAGGGAAAAAGTAAACAATGTGAATAAACTTACAACAAACCAAATGATCAATGCAAACTCCATCTTTCTTTGGAGATTTTCACCACTAATACATAAAACTACAAAGAACTAAAATAGTTTCTCAAAGAGATCTCTAAGGTTAAATGGATTCAATGATCGATCATCTGAAGAAAACTTTTATCAAGACTCGAGCTTTCTTTTTCAACTCTCTCAGAAAAAACATGTTTTGTGAATTGGCCAAGAGAGACACGAAGTGCATAGATCGTTGCTCATACGCTCTGTACTTTTCCCGGCATCTCCTTTGCATTCACGCTCTTCATTTCCTGCGTTTCCAAATCAACAGATAACCACAGAATGTTCTTGAGTAACAACAATATGCAATAGAACCAATGACTAAAGAAAGCAAGTCCAAAACCAATCCATAATACTTTTAATTTATAATCACCGAAGATCAAGGTTCAATCTAGAAACTAGCGTTTTGCTTCAAAGCTTACTTACCTAAAATGTACATTAAACATGATGTTATCCAACTAACATAGAAAGATTCAAGAACCGCGCAAGAACGAGAAACTAAACATAGCTCAAGAATCAAAAGGAAAAAAGCAATAAACACAAAACTTTCTGAACGGGATCAAAGAACACTTACTGATCCTTTGCCATCGTAGTACTCATCCAAAGCCCACTGGTACTTAGACTGGTTTAACCCAAACCATCTCACCAAATGATCATCTACGCTTGAATGTGCTGCAGTAAAAAAAAAGGGTTAAGCACACACAAGAATGTCAAATTAACAATCTTTCATTTGTTGTTAGGACCAAATCAGAGAAACAGTATCAAAATCCACAATTCATGGTACATTACTTTCCAATTACCTCATAAAAATAGAATCTTTTGATCAATTTGTTCATCAAGCAATCACAGAAAAGGAAAGGCATTCTAAAATCCCAAGATCCGGAAATGAGGAAACTTTTTTTCTCAGATTACTCTCGTTTCTTACCATTTTGAACTTTTGTGACGGCGATTTTGAAGAAGCCCAAAACTGAGCCGTCTTGTTCAGAAGAAGCCACCGATTTAAACTGCTGCGGCGGAGGAAGAACCGGCGGTGGCACTATGGGCTTCTGAGATACGGCGGCAGGAGATTCAGGTGGTTTTGGGGTCGCCGGAGGAGTCATGAAGACAGTGTAAGGTCCGATTTTTCCGATGACAGGCGGAGGTGTTGATGGGTCTCTGTTGATCGGCATCTTGAGGTGAAAATTGAGTGAAGAAAATGGAAGGAAATTTTCAGACAAGGGAGATGTCGGAGCTGCAAGTTGTTGCAAGTTGCAGAGAGACAGTGAAAGTGAAGATAATCTAGCGAGTGAGGTTTTGGTTCGTTCAATCTCAAGTTTCTAAGTGTAAATGTACTTTACTTTTCACACTCACCCAAAGAGTCAAAGACAGTTCATATTTCCATTCTTTTCTCCTTTTTTTCCTCCGAATCTTCTTCTTTTGTTTTTCATTATATTTTAATATTTAATCTCTAAAAAGACAATTTTAATTCTATTTTTTAAGTCTTTTATGTAAAATTCTCGAATATATAATTAGTTTGAAGTGCGTTTTCAAATCATTTAATATTTCATTTTCATTTTCTGTATATCTAATATAGAGAAATAAAACAAATTAAACAATGCTACAACTTGATTTCTTTTAAACAGATCAGTTTTTAAGCTTGGTTTTGGTCACCTACAAAAAATTACTACAAAAGAAAGAATATACAAATCAAATTCGTAAACATTGCATATACATATAACAGTAAATCAACAGATGAGCAAAACATGGACGTACCAAACTCACAAACTCACCATGTACAGAGCAACTAATGAACATGTTTTTGAGTTTTCCCATTTTGATCAAAACATCTAGAAGACCCTTTTCTCTTCTTCGTGTCTTGACGAGGTGACTGTAGTATTAGAGGTGGCTAATAAGAGCTCGTGAGCTTCATTTAGCATCCACTCTTCTCCGGTTTGGCCACCTAAGACGACCAACCGAGTTCCTCCGACCACACAAGTGGTGTGTCCCCACGCAAACCTCGGCGGACTTCCCTTCACATTCAATATCCTCCACGCCGGTGTCTCCTCCGTTGGATCAAGAAGATAAAGCTGAGAGGCCGAGTCAAGCCCTGCAACCGAACCACCAAAGATCAAGATTCTACCACCGGGAAGACTTATCGCCACATGATCTAGCCTCGGTGGTGGAGCCGCCATGCCTCCCGGAAGGCTAGATCCATACCCGATCACAGGTCTCCAAGACGGTTCATCCTCGCTGAGATCCATCGTGTACACATCGTTAGATCGGAATCTCAGAGAGCCGGATTTCGCAAGACCACCAAACATGAGGATCTTTCGGTCACCATAGACGGTAAGCGTATGTCCAAGGCGCGATGGAGGAGACCATGGAACCGGTATCTCCCTCCAAGTTGGTATATCCATTGAAAGGTCAAGCAAGAAAGTATCGCTGAGTAGAGCTCCTGAATCAGCACAACCACCAGATACAATCAGCTTGGTTCCATCGAGTGTGCACGAGCTGTGCCACGATCTTGGTATTGGAGGAGCCAAACCGGATACCTCTCTCCATGTCGGAGGGTCTGCATCAAGGTCTAACAAGAAGACATCGTTGAGTAACCCGTGGCTCCCGTAACCTCCAAACACTACTAAACGGGAACCGTTGACACAAGAGAGCGTGTGACCCCAGCGACCAGGAGGAGGAGAGCTGACCAGAACGGATTTCCACTCGGGACTACTCGAGCCAAGGTCCAACACGAATGTATCATTCATCGGTTGCATATTCACACCTTCCCCACCAAAGATAACAATCCTGTTCCCAACGGCGCAAGCGCTGAAATTACACCGGGAAGGCTCGACAGTGCCTCCAACAGAGAACTTCCTCCACGCCGTTGCTTCATGTGTGGTGAACTCTCGAGCCAGTCGCACCCAGCCGATCCTCTTTGCACCGGGAACACTCTCGAGGACACGTGTAGCCTCGGTTCCCCATGTGTTTTGACAGACCATTCTCCACACATCATCGTTCTTTGTCAGCTCATCGAGCCGCCGACACACACAACTAACCGATGCAATATCACGAGGAGTCAGCTGCGACAATATCTTGAGAGCTATTACCTCATCACTCAGCTCGAAAATCCCACAGAGCCCGCGAGAGACATTACGTTCTCCGATAGGTAAAGCAGAGGAGAATGAGCGAGATGTTCTCGGGATCTCTTTTGCATACAAACCAGGAGGTGGGCCAAGATCGATCTTTGCATCTGTGAAGAAGAGAACACCTATGAAATGAGTGATCTCGTCTTCTTCACGGATAGGAACTACACGCAGCTTGTTCATCAAAGGAGACCCATCTTTCCGAAAGTTCAGCAGCTCGCCTTGAAACTCGATGCCCTTCTCTAGAGATTGTCGCATCTTCGACACAACTGTAGAATCTACTGATGGATGCCTTCTTTTAGCATATTGCCCTCTATACTGCAAGAACCGGCTACAAAAAAAGGGAAAAAAACAACTCAACAGTTACAGTAATGATCCCCCACAAGCAATTTTGAAAAAAAGATGAACTCTATGCATAGAAACCAGGTAAAACCACAACATACTAAGACCAAAACGCATTGCTTATAACACATCACTATGTTAAGATAACAGTGCATAAGAAAAAAAACATATCACAAAGAGAAAGCTCCAAGTCTTCCGAAAACAGCTCAGGACATGTACACAAAGTATATAGTTGGCGTTCCTAAACAGTGACTAAGACAAATTGAAAACATTAGAAGCGACATGTATCCTCACTTTATAGCTTTGTTCTTCTAAAAACAAACTTCTAATTTTATGATTTCGACACTTTCTGATACATTTCTAGCTACGAGTACCTAAAGAATGTATTCAAGCTCCTTAACAAGAATCGTATGAGCGAATCGAAAATTTCAATTTTTATTTTTTCCCGTCAAAACAAGCTCTCTTGTTACATATCGTATCAAAACCACAAGATTCGCTAAGTAGCCAACAAAGTTGAAAGCTTTAGGGTAAAGAAGAAGCAAGCTCACCAATTTCTACCGATAACTTCCTCAGCTCGATACCCAGTGACCATCTCGAAGACGGTGTTTACATAGATAATAGGTTGGTCAGGCTCAAGAGCGTCGCTGACCACGAACCCACACGGCGCCGTTCCGGGAAGACTACTCACCGGGAACGGAATCGGTCCGTTATCTCCGCCGAACCATCCATCATCCACGACCTCATCGCCGCCGCTGAGATCGGAATCGCTATCCCACTCCATTTGATTTTGCATACAGTAAACACGGAATTGAACAGAACAAAAGGTCAAAATCGAAGACAAAAACCCAGAAACCGCCTTGAAACCCAGAAGAAGAAGAAGAAGATAGTTTGACTATGATTAAGAGCCAAGCAAAATAGGAGCAATCTGATATTTGTAGGTAATGGATTCCACCGGCCACTTCTAGAGGAGAGAGGAGAGAGATTCGGTCGGTGTCGATGACTCAGGAATCTCGGTGCCTCTCCTTTTTCATCTTAACCGGTTCCTCAAATTCCACATTTCCGGTTCAATTTGCTTTCCGGTCCAATTTACTGATTTTTTATTTAAGTTTCAATTGAACATTTTCTTTTCATCATCATCAAAGGTTCAAAGTTGTGCTTATTATTTTTCTCGGAGTGAAAATGAAATGTAAATTACAATACAAAAAAAAACCCACAAATCTACAAAAAGAAACAAATATTTATATAGTTTCATTTAGGATTCTAAATTCTCACGTACTCGAAGAGCTAGCTTTTGGATGGACTGATCATCAAAGTGAGCATCAAGTGTCTTAATCTTGGAAACAAAACTCATGGCTTCACTGTACTTGCCTGCTCTGCAATAACCATCCACAACCATTTTATAAGTCAACTCATTTGGTCTGCACTCGTTCTTCGCCATATACTCAATCACATCCTCAATCTCTTCAAACATCCCCATCGCCGTGTAACCGGAAACAAACGTGTTGTAAGTGAATATGCACGGTCTGATCCCACGCTCCGTCATCTCAGAGAGCATCCTGACCGCTTCTTGCATCAACCCTTTCCTGCAGAAGCCTTTGATCACCGTGTTGTAAGAAACCAGGTCCGGTCTCAGCTTCGATTTCTCTAGATTCTTGAGGATCTCTTCTGCTTTCCAACACTCTCCTCTTCTCACGTACATGTCCATGAGGCTGTTGTAGGTTACAAGATCAGGGTTCAGCTCGTGCTCGCGTATAGACTGGAGAATCTCGTGCCCTTGATCGTACATGTTGTTCCTTGTGTAAATGGAGAGCATCGAGTTGAAAATCACCATGTCCGGTTTGTATCCGTGCTTTTTAAACAACGCGAAGGCTCTCTCCATCCCGGCGAGTGCTCGGCATTTGAAGTTTGCGAGAAGCAAAGTTCTCAAAAGCATCCAGCTCGGGAATATGTAGCCTTCGTTTATCTCCTTCTCGATTCTCTCTATCCCAAGAACGTTCCCTCCTTTGGCATAGCATTGAAGCATCAAGGAGTAAGATGTTTCCGTTGGTTTGAATCCTTTGCTTTTCATGTCTGAGATCACATTCTCTCCTGATCTCCAATCACCTTGTCTAGCCAAGGCATTAAGCAACGCGTTGTAAGTCGTGACACAAGCGTTGAAACCAGCTCTTGTCATCTCACCAAACATCTTCGACGCGTCAACCTCTGAACCGCATCGACCATAAGCGCTAATCAGCGTGTTGAACGTGTCTCTATCAGGCTCGAAACCACAGCTCTTCATTTCACGGAACACCCGGTTCACGTACTTATCCATACCTTTATTCCCACACAGAGCAAGCATCGTGTTCCACGTGACACGATTCGGGGAACACCCATTAGACTTCATATCACACAACATCTTAACCATGTCACTGGATCTCGATTTTTTCCCCAACATACTAAGCACTGCGTTGTAGGTGCAAGTGTTGGGAACACAGCCTGCTTTCTTCATACTGTAGAACAGCTTCAAAGCCTCTTCCTCCTTTCCCGACTTCCCATAAGCATCTATCACCGTGGTATAAGTGATTGCGTTCGGCATCACTCCTTTTCGAGTCATCATCTCAATGACACCAGCAGCTTCTTTGGTAAAACCAGCTCTAACGTAAGCTGCAACAAGCTCATTGTACGTCACGGAATCTGCAGGGCAGTTGCTTTCCTCCATCTCTTTCAGAATCTTTAGTGCTTCTGTATAAACTCCTGCTTTACCAAAGACTTGAAGCAACGCGTTGTAAGTTACGGTTCCGGGCTCATATCCGCCTGACTTAAGCTCAGCGAAAAACTCCTTGGCCTCTCTTAACAAACCTTCTCTTGCACAAGCGGAGAGCACAGTGCTACAAGTGAATTCATCAAAGTTTAGCCCTTTGCTCCTGATTTCGTCTAGAACTAACAGAATCTTGCTCCAAGATCGACCCATCTTCCCGAAAACGTCGAGGATCACATTGTAAGTAACCAAAGTAGGTGAAGGACCCATCTCTTTCATCCTCTCATACAAATCGATTGCCTTTTCATACTTCCCTGTCCGTGAGTAAGCATATAAGATAGTAGTGTAAGCACGAACATCGAGAAGATAATCTTGCAGAGGAATTTCGTCGAGCAGCTTAGCTGCAACGGAGTATTGAGACTCTCTACCTAAGATCCTCACTACGATCTCGATAACCTGATGATCGAGCTTCAAAGCTCCTGAATTCGAAGCTAAAAGTAACCATTCAAACAGAAAAACCGCTCTTTCCCAGTTCCCGGAATCATCCAGAGCCTTTACCAAACTAAACAGATCGGTTCTGAGCAACTCAGATTTGGCGGAATCGAAGAAACTGCTCAATCCGGGCAATGGCAGTTCCACGATCGAATTAAGCAGCACATTTTCCTTCCTGCACAGTAGCTTCAAGGACCCGTCTCCGAATCTCCCTTCGTCGCTTCCGATTTCGATGCCCAGAACGGGAATCGAAACGGGTTTCACCGATTTCACCTCCTGGCGCCATTTGTGACTCGATTCCGTCGAGACCTCGAGGGAAGGGAAACGAGCGGCGGCGGAGTTGGCGTGTCGCGGCGTGGAAGAGAGGTGAACGAGATGGTGGAGAAGCGAGTCGAGAGGAAAAGACGGGGGAGAAGGAGGAGGCAAGTGAAGTGTGGCGGAGCTGAATTTGACGGATTGGTTAGCGGTTTGAGTCGGTGGAGGTCTCTTGGATTGAATTGGGTACGGAGGTTTGTGGGGGAAGAGTGCACCGTCCATTGAGAGACGTTATCCGATTGAGGGATTGTTATGGTGAATGAAGCAGAGGAAGAAGAAGAAAGAAAGTTAGCGCCTTTGATTGAAAAAGTCGGATTTTTTTTGAATGGCCGTAAAAAAAACTCGGCCCTATCGAAAACAAGATTGGCCTTTTAGAGAAAGTTGGGTTATGAACATTTTTGTTCCAAACCGTGAAACCAAATTCGAATCCCAACAAAACCGAATTGAATAGGTAGTGATAAGGTCTAAAAATTATGAGTGTTCTTTTTTTTTTTTTTTTGTCAGTTGAAGATTTTCATTATCAATCTTGAAGGATACACTTGAAGAATAATACATAGTCTTATGAAAAAAAAAGTAAATTAGAGTGAAGATATACTTGAAGAATACATAGTCTTATGCAAAAAAAAAATTAAATTAGAGTAAAATTACGATGCTGATAATACGAAAACGAATAAAAATCTTAATTTAAAACAAAAAATGATTTATGAAAAGTTTAACCCAACACTTAAAACACAACCAATAAAGCTTCCTTATTTTTAGAGAACCACAAAAACAGTTCCCTAACCAACCAACAATAAACATATTCCTTCACAAATCAAATAACCTCAACTATAATAACAACATCACAACCATTATTATATATCACAACCATTATTATATATATCAACTCTATTTGTTGCTAATATGTATCAATTCTCATCTTTTTTAAGTAGAGAAAAGAGAGAGCATTTGGTTTTTTCTCAAATAGATTTTAGGGTACATAATAAAGAAATAGCAAGTTAGAAATAAATTTTTATTGAAATTATCAAAGGAATTTTTCAGTAAGAGTTTGAAAAATTAGGTAGCTAAAAATCAGTTATATTAAATTTTCATTAATTTGAGTAAAGATAATATTTGAGATATATATAGTTAAGGTTAATTCATGTATTTTTATATATATATATATTTAATTTTTTTATTTACTGCATCAAATAAGTTTATTGTAAATAGATAACTTTCAAAAAAATTATTTCAAAAAAAAACCTAACACTCTCTTTCTCTTTACTAAAAATTTCACTACCGCATTTTTCAGCCTTCAGTGTCTGTGAATCCAATAGAATGCACTGCTTTCTCAACATTGCTTGAATCCAATAAAACTCACAGCTTTCTCAACATTGCTTGTAAAACTCTTATTTTTCTATCTGTCCAATAGTCCAATAGAACATGTAAAAAATCTCATATAACCCATTAAGATTTGTTTCCTTTTTAATACTAATATATGATATATATTAGAATATATATAATTAATATTTAAAATTTTAAGATTTCTAATATATATAATTAATATTTTAAAAATTTAAAATTACAAAGTAAATGATTAGAAATTAAAAACTGTAAAACTACCCTATTTTAAAATACCTATGGCCTTAGTCCATTTGAGATAACTCGATCGTTTAATGTTAAAACTACCTTGAATTTTGTACAAGAAAATAACTTCTTTTGTGATGCAAAAAAAGAAAAAGAAAAGAACTTCTTTTGTTTGGACAATTAATGGTAAACAAATCTATTAATAATAACAAATTGAATAAATGTCATTTGTGGCTGCATCTTTTCTTACACCGTTAAAAAAACACTCCATTTAATTTCGGATACCATATTTTTTCAGACTATAAAACTAACACAAAAGTGTAAATATATGTGATAAGCATTGTGTTTAGGGCTTTGTGTTAAAAAAAAAAAGCATTGTGTTTAATTCACCTTGTACCGGACTAAAATTTGTATATGAGCTCTTGCTAGCTGGTCCATACAAAACCAAGGTCTTAGAACATTAGTAATGGACAGATTTAGTGAGGTTCTAAAGAAAAAAAGAAAAATAAGAAAAGAAAAGAAAAATAACTTGTAGAGACGGGAAGTCAGAATCGTCTCTCTGCATAGGGATGAAAGAAACGACTCTTATGTAATGTGGCAACATATCATTTGTCATATTTTGTTTTTTTATTATTTTATTTTAATAAATAATGAAAATCAATTTTTCATAATAATTAATTTTTTTAAGAGTTTCTCATCAGAGTATCTCCGATGCTGATGATCTTAGAATTACCAATTTCAACAGTTTTGCTTTATGAATGCGTGATTTGCAAATCGGTCCATAACTTTTTTAAGATTTGTTTCTTTTTAACTGTAATAGATGATAAATATTAGAATAGAAATACAGTATAATTATCTTTTTAAAAATAGTCAAGAAGATTACAAAGTTAGAGATATTAAAAACCGTAAATACTTAAATTTTCTTTAAAACTACCCTATTTTAAAAACTACTGCTTTAGCTCGGTCCCAATAGAGGTGGTTTAATGTCAAACTTGAAAGCAAAAGCACAACACGTGACATTGTTGTCCCCCCCCCCCTTCAGATATTTTGTACTTAGAAACAAGTGGCAAATCTACACCACACTTCTTGCTTAATATCTCTTATAAGATCATTTCTTCGTCTAAGTTCCACAAGGAGTAATATAACTACTTCTTCTAATTGCATTTTACACTAAACTTCCCAGAAAAAGTTAAATCTAAGTTTTTTTGTCGATCTAATCGTATTTGGATTTTATTTAAATACGTAAACAGCGACACCAGTTAATCATTTTCATCTACTGTTCTCTCATGCTGAAATCATTACTTTTGCTCTCTGTTCGTCCCAAAGATCATTTCTTTGCTCTTTGATTGTTGAATTCTCTGAGGGAGAAACCGAAGTAGCTTTCATGGAGTCTCTGCTCTCTAGTTCTTCTCTTCTCTCCGCTGGTAACTCCTTCAAATCTCTTTCTAGATCTAATTCCTTTTCTGGTTTTTGTTTTGTGATTCAGTTCCATAAAAAGCTTCGATTTTTATATGTATTTTTGCAAATAAAATAAGAGAGAAAAAGGTTCAATTTTTATATGAATTGTTTATTGGATCGAAGCAGGCCACAAAGGTTTTGAATTTGTTTATCATGCATGCAATTTTTCACTTTTCAGCTGGTGGACTTTGCTGGAGGAAGCAGAATCTAAAGCTCCACTCTTTATCAGGTGCGTTTAAGGGCTTTACGGGTTTTGAAACTCTTAAAACTCAATCTGCTTAATCTCACTCTGTCCTTACCAGTTTCTGGTTAATCTGCTTCTGAATTGCTTATATTCGAATTCACATTCTCAAATTGGTGTTTACTAGACAATGTATGTTGGAATTAGTTTTCTTTTTGCTGATATGAGAATTTGAATTTGCAGAAATCCGAGTCCTGCGTTGTGTTTCGAGTAAAGTTGTAGCAAAACCGAAGTTTAGGAACAGTCTTGTTAGGCCTGATGGTCAAGAACCATCTTCATTGTTGTTGTATTCGAGACATAAACCGAGGTTTCTGGTGAATGCCACGACGGGTCAGCCCGAGGCTTTCGAACCGAAGAGCAGTCAGAAATCTCTAAGAGACTCGTTAGATGCGTTCTACAGGTTTTCAAGGCCTCATACGGTTATAGGCACAGTTAAGTTTCTCTTTAAGAAATGGTTTTTCTCTTTTGTTTCTATGAGTTTAAAAGAAGATAACAACATTAGTTTCTGTGATTGGTTCTTGTTTCTGCAGGTGCTTAGCATTTTATCTGTATCTTTCTTAGCAGTAGAGAAGATCTCTGACATATCGCCATTACTCTTCACCGGCATCTTGGAGGCTGTTGTTGCAGCCCTCATGATGAACATATACATAGTTGGGCTAAATCAGTTGTCTGATGTTGAAATAGATAAGGTAACCTGTGTGTTTGTTCTTCATATGATTTCGATGTAAAGAGTGAAGAGACTGAATCTTCACTAGTGCTTAAGATCATACTCTCTGTGACATTTTTTGCAGGTTAACAAGCCGTATCTTCCATTAGCGTCAGGGGAATATTCTGTTAAAACCGGGATTGCTATAGTAGCTTCTTTCTCCATCATGGTATGATACCATTTTCACAAACATTAAACTTTTGTAAGTCCATAAGTAATCTAATTTTGTTGACAAAAAAAAACTTGTAGAGTTTCTGGCTTGGGTGGATTGTTGGTTCTTGGCCATTGTTCTGGGCTCTTTTTGTGAGTTTCATACTCGGTACTGCATATTCTATCGATGTAAGTAAGTTAATAACCTCGAGGATTTGGCTTTGTATCGAAACCTTGGTTCAAAGTTTTGAGGTTTTAGTAACTTGCTCTCCTACTACAAAACAGTTGCCATTTTTAAGGTGGAAAAGATTTGCATTGGTTGCAGCAATGTGTATCCTCTCTGTCCGAGCTATTATTGTTCAAATCGCGTTTTATCTACATATTCAGGTACTTAACTAAACCATCTTTCTTATCTTTTTTGAAGTTCTTACATTATCAACAAAAATCACCTTTATGTTTACCAAAGCTGTGAACTTTCTTGCAGACACATGTGTTTGGAAGACCAGTCATGTTCACGAGGCCTCTTATTTTCGCCACTGCGTTTATGAGCTTCTTCTCTGTTGTTATCGCATTGTTCAAGGTAAACAAGTCTGTGTTTTATACTCAAAGTAAAGCATTTTCTTACTCTTTTGTATGGATGAGAAGTTTTCTGTATTGGTCTATGTTGCAGGATATACCTGACATTGAAGGTGATAAGATCTTCGGAATCCGATCATTCTCTGTAACTCTTGGTCAGAAAAAGGTAAAGTTTCGAAAAGTGAAGAATTTGTTTTGTTAAGATTAGAGAAAAGAGAAAGAAATATTTGTTCTTGTTGCAAAACTCAGGTGTTTTGGACATGTGTTTCACTACTTCAAATGGCTTACGCTGTTGCGATTCTTGTTGGAGCCACATCTCCTTTCATATGGAGCAAAGTCATCTCGGTAACAATCTTACTATACCCATCAAAATGCGTTTGATTTTCATCGTCTTGAGTGATTAAAAGGTTTCATTTTTGTTTGGCTCTGTTGGTTTTTAGGTTGTGGGTCATGTTATACTCGCAACAACTTTGTGGTTTCGAGCTCAGACTGTTGATCTGAGTAGCAAAAACGAGATAACTTCATGCTATATGTTCATTTGGAAGGTTATGAATAGATTCTTTATCTTCTTTTTCTTTTCTCCATTTTTGGAATTGAAAAACTCTGTTAAGTTCATCAAAATCGCCATTTACTGATATTAGTTTCTCCATTTCTGCATCAGCTGTTTTATGCAGAGTACTTGCTGTTACCTTTTTTGAAGTGACATTAGAAGAAGAAGAAGACGAAGAAGAAGAAGATAAAGAAGTTATCACTATGCTTCTGTTTTTATTCAAACAAGTTTATTGATCAAATTAGGCAGAGATTAGGGTTTTATCATCAAACATCAATAAACTGCAAAGTATATTCACATAATACAAGCATTTTTGTTGGCAATAAAAAAAAGGGGTTGCTTTCCTGTATACCAAGAAAAGAGCCCTTATTTGAGTTAAGACTTGTTCGCAATTCTTCAATTTTGTAATGGCCCAATAACATATTAACATGTAACAAACAACAATTGTTGGTTCCATGACAGGACAACATTTTCTACATGTGCTGGGTCGGCCCATTAGGGTTTTATCATCAAACATGTGCTGGTTCGGCCCATTAGGGTTTTATCATAAGACAAGCATTTTTGTTGGCAATAAAAAAAAAATGTTGCTTTCTTGTGTACCAAGAAAAGAACCCTTATTTGATTTAAGACTAGTAAGTTGTTCGCAATGCTTCAATTTTGTAATGGCCCAATAAAACAACACAACTCGTACACAATTGTTGGTTCCATGACAAGACATTATTTTCTTTAACATGTGTTGGGTCGGCCCATTAGGTATGTTTAGGAAGTCCAAACTATCTGAACTGCAACTTGTTTCCCAAGTTACATTGTTAACTCTATGTATAACCAATCAAAAGACTTTAGAGATTCTACTAAAATGGTGACATTTTGCTTGTTTTGTTAAACCATTTGACCCATATACAGTTCTAGTAACACATAAGACATGTGGTTTGGTTTGTTGGCGTAAATCACCATTTTTCAAATCTAATCATGTCTTAAAACGGATCATTTGAACTAATTACGTGTGGTTGCAATAAATGATACGAGATTGAAGTCGCCAAACTCAACAAAACAGCTCCTATGTACCAACAATTCAAAATAACTATAGATTACAGATTCAAACATATCATAAATAGTTTATAAAGTTTAATAATACTCCAACAAATTATGGGATGGGAGAAAAAAAAATGCACTCGGAGTGCGGAAACAAAGGATAAGAATTAAGAAGAAAGCTAGTCCATTGAAAGTTGGAGCAAATGGACAAAATAATGTTATGATTATTCCTTCTCACATAAACCTTTGAAAGAATATATGCGATTTGCGAAAGAACTTTCATCATGATTGAAAGAAAGAAATATAATAATCGTTTTTTTTTTGTGTAAAATAAACAAAACAAGAAACTCACCAATAATTCAGCAAAAAGTTTCGAAAGTGAGAGAGTGGGCACAAAAGTGTACATCTTTGGTTACAATCAAAGAATCCAACACAAAATCAAAGTTCTCAAGATGCTCCATATATCATATATATAACCTCCTTTTTTTTAAGAGCCAATAATTTCTAATAAGATAAATAAACATTTTAATATTCCATTTGCTTTTGCTTACAATTTTTTTTCTTCTCCTTTTGGGTCCATTCATTGACATAAAATTTTCTTTGAAGCTCCAACATACAATGAGGCTAAGGTCTAAAGTAGTAAACTTTATTAGCAGCCGAGTCACTTCAATCTATTCCAATCTCAAAAATTTGTTTTAAGCATCAAAGTCACTGATTTTGATCATCTCTTTGCTAACATTTTAATATAATCATTTTCTCTAAAAGCTGGTTTACTTAGGTGGTCGCTAAACATCCTAACATTGTTACTTGTAAGAAAAATAAATGATTATTTAGGTCATTCAAACATAGATTATATTGAAATAATTTGACGGTTCGATGACCAACTCAGATTAGGCGTTACAAATTGAGGGATATGCAGACGTTATGAAATCTGCAGTAGCCAATAAAAAAGCATGTCCAATGAAAATTGGTTTATAGTATATATTAACGAGCAATATAACAATAGCCACACAATTAACTTGTTTTGAGTTTTGACTAATATCTAATAGGTTTCGTTATAACTTTTACAACATAACCAATTTGACTGTATTTGAGTTTTAAGAGTTAGGGTTTGTATTGGATATACATTTTAAGGTAAATGCTAACATAAGCAAATCAGGAAAGAAAATTTCAGAGAAATTTATTTAGAAAAAAAAGTGGAAGTAATATAAGCAAATCAGGAATGTCACCGAAAGACATAAGGTTGGCAACAACCGTTTCGTTGCTCAGCAAAACTATAAAGAAAACAGAATAAAGTTAATGGTTTATTAACATTTTCACATATGTATATGTGCCAAGAGACACGTCTAAAGAGTTGATGAAGTTGACAGAAACAACGACCATTTTGATCTTATTTTTATTGTATCATTGTCATTTTCATGCGCTTTAAATTAAATTCCTTCTTATTGATATTCTATTCTTGATGCTCCGTAGCTTCTGAGTATTTTTGGACTGAACATTTCTTTTCAGCAGGGGTTTTTTTTCATAGACATACGTTGGAAGCTATAAACTAGTTGTTATTATAAATGTGTTGAAGAGAGGATACGAAATTAGCAATGAATAAAGATATGCTGGAATAAATGTATCAAATGATGAAATGATATTATTTAAACAAGATGAGAATCTGATATAAACAAGATCATATGTATCAATTGAGAAGATCTAATTAACGTGAAAAAAACACAAACCCCTTAGACACATCAATATTTGGCTCGCATAATATATCTTATACTCTTCGTATGTATATTTTTAATTACTTTGATAAAAAAAATTCTTAGAAAAGTTTGATAGATAATTGGACCCCCAAAAATGAAATAAGACTTTATTTTCAACAAAACATGGGCAAACTATAATATTGATTATAGTGAGATGCGAGAAAGTGGTGGGTACATAAGCAGATGCACAAGCATGGCCACCTAATAAATTTAAGAAGAATAATACTCTTTCAAAAAATAAAAATACACATGCATCATTCCACAACTGAATTAACATATATATATATATATATAAGAATATTAATATATATTATTTATTTATAAGAAAACTAAAATTAGGTCTAGTGATGCCCATCTGTATATTATAATTATAGCTGTCCCTGATGTCCCTTTATGCGTGACTACTGTGCCTCTATGGATATAAACACTGATAATCCGATACACACACATGTACTTAACAAAATGAAAGCTTGTTAGGTCATGAGCTATATATTTTCATCACCAAAATATTTCCTTACGCGTGAATACTATATATATATAATATACCACATGATCACATGTTTATTTTTGGAATTTTTTACCTGAAAGCTATATCAATTTCGTTGAAGAAAGATTGCTACATTTATTCAATTTTTTAATAGTTTTATTTATTCATAAAGCAAGATCCCTGGTTATTTGTTAGTAAAATTACATTTTTTTTACATTTCGCAAACGGCATGTATAATTTGAGGTTAAAGTACTTGATCCCAAACATAATTTTGAATAGGTTCGACTTTGGTTGACCTAATAGAAACTAATTTTCAAAACTATATATCCAGCTTTTTCAATCTAATAGATTTTAATATATAGACTTTCTAAGAAAACAAAAGTCAAAATGAAAACGGATTTGAAATTGTAATGATAAGGAAGTGTTGTTAGTTTAGTCAGAATCGTTTACAATTTTTGAAAGCGCTAGTCTAAGAAAAGGAAGAAACAAACCCTAATTTATTGATCACTTTTTGGTTACATCTCATTACATGTAATAGGAAAACAATCTAAGATAAATGCTCAATTTTCAACCAAAAAAAAGTGGAAAATCAGAGTCTAAGATTCAAATTCAAATTCAATTTTGTTGATTTTTTTAATAGTTGATTGTGCAATGTAATGACTTTTTTTTATTGTTACAGATGATGGATTGACATATAAAATTCAATAACAATGACATAATTGAAAAAGAAATAGGATTTTCTAATTGATAATGTCGGCTAAAATATGAATGTTATTATTAAATTACACTTCTCTTTCCAAAGTAATATAGTTTAATCGTAACTATTTGCCTATTTGGGCCTATGTTATACTATATATGGATCAGCTGACAAAAGTACACAAAGGTCGGGTAGTTAGTACTTAGTAGTTACCACCATTTCGAGCAAATTCTACAATCGCTAATATTAGGTATATCTGACTATATTTTGATCAAATATATATAAATTATAGTTTCATAAGAAAATACGAAAATATGTATTTGAAATTCAAGTAGTCGACTCTTAGTGATCTACCATGTTTATTCATATTTGATAACTTCATTTACATGTACAGCTTTTCCAAATAAAAATTCGAAAATACAAAGTAATTTCAAAAGTAAAACTCAGAAACAAAAAAATATGATTTAGATTAAAATTTTAGGAAAAAAAAAACATAATAACATCGTACATAATATGAAGTGACAAAAAAAAAATTTGGACTCTACATGGTATATATTATCAATTATGATATTAAAAAATTCGTATAACTATTATACTCTTCGTGCATAGTGTACGATAAAAATAAATTCAGATGCGACCAATATATGTGCCATTATTTACATAGCATTTACACTTCGGAGAAGGTTAGGTAGCTCACAATTAATATTTGGATGTATCCAAACTTAATGGTTAATTCGTGGAGATAAATTAATGCGATGACAATATCAAATAATAGAGTTTCTGTTGAAAAGTGAAAACTACAATGAACATCAAATCGGGGTTATATTTTTTTCATATTATTTTGGGGTTTTGCTAGTTTTGTTTTGGTTAGTTTGGTCTTTAGTTTGACTCAGTTCGATTTGGTTAGTGCTAAATCAAAATTAAACCAGCGTAGTTTGGGTTTAATCTACTAAAAGACTAACAAAAGTAAAACAACTGTTTATTAGGATCACGTCTACGTACTTGGTTCGTTTTCACTTTGAAACCACTTGGTTTGATTTTGTTTGTTTGAATTCGTTTTAATACAAGTAGAAAGATTCATTGGAGTGTAGCAGAAAGTCTGCGGATGTTGTTTATATTTTTTTTCTACATCTTTGATGTTTATCTTTTCTATATTATATTTTTAAATTAAAACATCTATTTTGTTATCTCTTGGTATTTTATGATAGTTTATTGTTATATTTATACTATTATTTTCATTTTTTGCTCTAAAATTCGACACCTTACTACCTTAATCTCTCTGGTTGACTTGGAGATAAATAACGAAAGATAGAGGGGGAATAAAGTGAGACCATTCTATCACGTGTTTGATTATAATTTTGATGTATTTTTTTTTTTTTGTTAACAATTGACATCTTACCTACTTTAGTTATTTTTTTTACTTTTACACCAAATAATGTGTTACCACCTATAAAGAAGAT